CATTAACATTTAAACAAATTGATAACCAAGAAGCACGCAATAATGTTTAAAAATATTCGAACGTTTGGAAATTCCAAAACACCTACAATCGGTTTAATACCCATGGTAGGCGAGTAAAATATTATAATGTAAATTAAGCAACCCTTCCGAAAAAGGCAAGTAAATACCAATATTTAATCTCTAATTTAAAATACTCTCTTCCACTAAAATCAATAGATGTTCTTAAGCCAACATAGTATTGGCCAAGAAGCTACATTTTAGACGGCCTCTCCTGGCAGAGAAAAGCCAAACAAAGCATATTTCTGGCATTGCCTTCTGACTTGACTTTGGCTTGGTCCTTCTTCTTTGGTTTTGGCCCCTGTTCGTGGCTCTTTTTTTGTTTTTTTTTTTTTTTGGTCAGAGCGACGGAGGGAAATAAGGAATCTAAAATGATAATAAAATATTCATATTAATCTGCTTGGCTCATAAAATATTCAGCTGCGTAATTGTTGGCATTACGTTCGAGTCGAGATCCGGGGCAGCCAGCTATGACGACAGTCGTGCCGGGAGTGCCATCATCATCATCTCCCCGCCCGCAGAGGAAATGCCAAGCAAAATCGTACAAGTTTCGTAATTTACACCTGGCTGCTCGCCTCGCATTTCCCCCATACCAGGCAAAAAAATAACCATTGCCAACAACCAGCTTTAAGGGAAAAATCAGTGGGGAAAATGTGTCAACTGGGAGGGTAAAACAAACAAAATAAATTCTTTAACATGTTATAGTTATAAGAAACTTGTGAATAATAGTCGTTTAAAAATAAAAACACATCGTATTTTGGATTTATCAAAGTATACAAATTCATTTATTGATTTAAAAAATATATATATATATGGCAAGTATTTTTATTTAGAATTCCAAATGCTCAACTTACAAAAAAAAATTCTTTTATGACTAATTAGTTGTTAATAAAAAATATATATGATACATAAATGGGTCCAAAATAAGTAGTAATTATCGAAGAAACAAGATATGTAAAACATTTAATAATATTTGATTTGCTTTAAAATTTAAATTTATTGGAACATGCTTTGACTATACAAAACTATTTATAAGGTTGTATTTCATAAAACAATTGATTTTATAAGTCGTTAATAAAAAATAATACAAAATATAAGTAAAAAAAAGTCATTGTTGAATTTTCCTTTTTTTAATTCTGAATGCTTAAGGCAATCTATAAATATGCTTTAAAATTAATGATTGTTTGCAGGGACTTGTACAGTTAAACAGCTTTAAGGATAAGCTGATAGGATGAGTTGAATAAGCAGAGGAAAAAGGAGTAAGCCAAACCAATGCCAGTCATTGGCAATCCCATTAAGCTATTCATAATTGCTCATAATTTTGGTTGATTTCATTAGCATATGTAACATTTTAATTTGATGTGGGAAGCCGCCTCTCGCCTGCCCCGCCCCTATCCCCTGCCACCCCCACACACACATACACACAGAGACCCACACGCACACGCACACGCACACACACACACAACACACATTCAGCACCCGCAAAACTCATATGCATAATCAATGGAGCCTCATTAACCTGTCGCTGTCTGGTGTGTTATTGTTGTTGCCTGTTAATTACGCAACCCATAAAATATATATTGCTTCTCATCGCGCTTTACATCAGAATGACGTCGATTAACACCTCATAAATGAGTGTGTGTCTGTGTGTAAAACCTGTTAATTGGTTTAACGTTATAAAATTGAAACCGCCGACGTTGTTGTCGGAAGTCGGAAGCCCATGCGGCGTATGCGTAATATATTTCTGAAACACCGGAAAAAGGTGACTTCACCCACTCTCTTTTGTGATGGAAAACATCTGTGTTCTCAGCAATGAAATCGATTTTAATAAACCGAATAATTTGTATATACTAAATGATATTTTAGCTACATTTCAAACAATACTGCACTTAACTTTAATAAAAAAACTTGTTAAAAAAAAAAAAAAAACAAATTAAATCGAGCTGAAATCTATCACTTAAAAATATATTATGCTCTTAATAAAAACTATTTTCAAAGTAAATGTAAAACTGAATTCTATTCAACAAAATCTATTTCATCTTGCTGCAGTCACTTCATTGAGAATTCATTTAGGGGAACATGGCTGACCATTAATATTAATATGTTACCAATAAAGGCAGCACAAAATAAAACAGGCAGCAGCAAAAGGACCGCACACATGCATTTAGTGGCTTTTGTTAATTATGACATTTACACTGCAATTTTGCTATTCCCATCCTAAGAAGTCAGTCTCAACATATATATGTATATATATTCATATCGCTTTCGAAACGGATACGGAACGGATATCGATCTACGTAAACTAGCCCAGATGTGGCTTTAATTTGATCTGATTCGAATAATAATTCATAATTGACTGAATAATGGACTCGATATTAATGTTAATTAAGCCCAAACGCACGGCAATTAGTTTTGGGCCCAGAGACAAGCAGCTTTGCCAGTTGAGGCCAAGACAAGGCCCTAAGTTATCCATGCAAATGCATGACTTTGTTCAGCATATCCGCTACGCATAGACACAGACGAACACAGACGAACAAAAATTGAAACATGAAATTGTTGAGCCTGAGAATGCAGCAAGTTGTGCGAGGGTTGTGCGAACACTTTGGCAAGTTTAATTAAAACGTTTGCTCCATTCAGAAAAAGTTGTTTTTTCAAAAAACATAAAAGCTTTTTTTATTTCTACAGGACTCTTAAGACGAATTTTTGTTTCGTTCTAACTTATTAAATCTTCATCAAATAGCCAAAGTCAGCAATAGGATTTTAGGTGTACAAAAAAAGTGTTTTTATTTGTAAGAGAACCAAAAGGAAACCCACAACTAAAAGTAACATGTAACAATGCTTATCACTGTCTAGCTTATTTAAAATAAAACAGACTTACACATTTGGATTTTAAATAATGGGTTAACACATTGATTTTTTGAGAAAATAAATAAATTGTTTACTGTGAATGCAATTAACAACGAATTTAACGAGGTGTGACATATCAAATTTTGAACAATATTAAACTATTAAAAATAATTAAGACTGACTGTTTTATGCAGCGGACGAACTTAACTTTCGATTATTTATTTTATGGCCAATTTTTGCATATTTTACAAGGGGTAAAAAATAGTTTATGGCGAAAATTGGCAAAATATAACAAAATTATAGCTTGAATGAAATATGATTGGCAATTTTATGGCAAGTTTAGTGATTTGCGACACTTCATATCCAGATCATTATTTTTCCGAATTTTAGACACAAACAGACTCAAAAATTTACCCAAAGAAACCATTTATAAGGTTTGCATTTGCCCTCGATTTTCGACTGACCATCTGACTCTGTGAAAACTGCCCGCCCAACATCACCGCCTCCCTTATCCCAGTCATCGCATCTTTATGAAGCTGAAGACAAAATTGTGTTGCATCGTTAGTCTAATTGCATTTTGCCAGGCGACAGTAACAACAGATTCGTGTTCTGCTCAACAGTTGCCCCGACACACAAGCGAACCTATATATATACATATATATATATATATATATGTATCGAATAAACTATATATATATATGGGCAAATACATATATGCAGCTAGGCAGGCATGCGTGAATGTTGCAGGAATCAAGGCAGCCTGCCAGCAGGACACGTACTCCTCGTCCTGCGAAGGCTGATGGCTGATGGTATTTTTTGGTTATTAAGACGATACGACTTGGATTCACAGCACTGTCATCGTCACACACACAGACACAGAGACACACTGAGACACACACGAACACCCAAAGCCACACACACACACACACACACACACACACACACAAACACACTCACGTAATAACTAGTAATTTTGCAACGTTTATGGAAGATGTAGGAGGTCCAACTTTTGACTCTTGATTTCTCTGGCCCAAATGAACCTGACCAACCCGCAACAGCAACAACCGAGCATAACAGGCATTTAGAAAATCGATTGGGGTTTCATCAATCGAATGAGGGATATCCTGTGAGAAGATCGTTTATAGATCTGCGCTGTATATAACTATTATATTCGGATAAAAAGATCTATATGGTACACTCATAGACAAACTATTTCAGATATGATTCTTTTAAGTTTCACATAAGCTTCAATCTAGCGATGATTTAACGATGACACATTTTTGAATTTAATATAAATTAAGGTCTACCGTTTTTAAACAACAAACTTTGACTGATTTTTGAGAGAATCCTAGTCCCGAGTGCTACCCTCTTGCCAACCGAAGTGTGGCCCGCAAATGTGTCGCATTCAAATGAACCAAAACTGAATTGTGTCTAAGGCATCACAGCCCCCTTCCGCCCCTCCCCCCGCCGTTCCGCCCGCCACTGGCCACTGAAGTCCTGTTGGCACATTTCGTTGTAGATTTTTGATATTTTCATTACGTGCATCTGCCAGTTACGCCTCATTGTGTGGGTGTGCCACTACTGGCATACATACCATGTAGTATGGCGTATATGGGTTCGTTCGGGAGCCAAGGAGTGCATAGATTGTCGTACATGTGTCCTGGCCTTGGTTAGTTCCATTCTAGCCGGATTTCAGTCGCTTAATCTCTGCTGACATTTGGTGAAACAGCACAAGCAGCAGCAGCAGTGAAAAGAGACAGATAAAGAGCGGCTCTGCTGCTTTACAAGCTTATGAATGCGAAAACAACAAGAGGATGTGCAAATCTACAACTCAACTGGGTGTTCTCTTTCTCTAGCTGGGCATCCTCGTCATCCTCGTCATCCACATCCACATCCACATCCACATCCATCTGGGCTCTGTTCATAGGCCAAATGCGGTGAGATTCCCTGTCCATCTGTCTCCTAAATACGTACTCACTGCTATATAAATTTACACTAAATTGTGTACATTTAATGTACTCTGAAGGCCATTAAAGCAAACTAACTCACAATGTAAATTGAAACGCATTTAATTTTTCATAACACAATGAAATTGGTACCTTTGAGCATTTATTACTTGCATCGTTTTTTTTTTTAATTATTGTTATTGAAAAACTACAAATTTCTCTCGACACATTATCAAAAGTTTAGCAATTAACCAGCACAATATCGGTAAACTGTGATACGTCTGTGATCGCTTCTTGATCTGCTCTCTCCATTCGCCAATCTTTGCCGTTTTATGTTACACCTCTGTTTTCTTCTGCTCAATTTTTTGGCTTGCCAATAGTTTGTATTTTTCACTCAAAATTTTGTTTAATTTTTGTTCTTTAAAGTTCATTCTCTGCTTATCATTCTTTTTTTATTGCTTCCGCATTTTTATCTTCAATCAGAGATCATGGGTATCACTGCATATAATTTTTAATCCAAATTTTCCAATTTCTTCACTCTACAATTTCATTTCCATTTTCCTTCTTTAATATCCTCCTCCTTTGTTATAGTTTCCAGTTTCCTCACTATACGCTCTTTTCCTTCTTTAAGTTTCCTCCTTTCTTAAGTTTCTTTAACATCCATTTGCGCTTTCTTCCACCTTTGGTTTGTGTCTTCAATCTGAATCTTCCTCCCTTCTTATATGTACATCTTGTTCTTTTTACAGTTTCTTAAGTCTTCTTTTCTTTAAATTTTTTCCCCCTTCTTGACTTTGTGTCATTCCAATCTCCAACTTTCAAGATGCGCTCCTATTCTCCACTTCTTTACTCTCCATTCACTGCAACTGCTTTCCACGCCTTTCCAATCTCCTTTCTTATTTCACCTCCTCTCAATTTCACCAAACTTCCAGAATCTAAGCCCACCCCATTCAGAATGCCGTCTTGGGCAGTTGACCATCCTGGCGTCGCAGCAACTGGATCCTGGGCACCGTGCGCCAGAAGAGGATGGCTCCCCGTTGGTGACCTCCGCGGGCGTAGAGATCGGTGAGGCAGTCGGCCCAGTGGTGGTAGAGCGGCATGCTCGGCGGCTCGCAGGCGGAGAGCGGTGCTCCAGTCACCGCCATGCAGGCGGAGGTCACCTCCAGCGGGTACATCAACATGCTGGCCAGCAGCTGGATGATCACCGCATTGTACAGCTGCTGAGGGCGGCTCATCGGCAACAGTCGCCGGCACAGGTGGCTCACACAACTGGTGGCGGCCAGGACGACCCATTCGCCCAGTAGGCGTGGCACAATGCCGGCATAGAGTCCCGCAAATCCCTCCATCTTCACAAGCAGCATCAAACTGTCCAGCACTCCCTCGTACACCCGTTCGCGACCCACAAACTGGGCTATCTGGCGCACCATTACCACATAAAATGGTTGCGATAGTGCCACTGCAGTGGCCAAACGGATGCTGTCCCTCGTTAGATTCCACAGCAACTCCTTCAGGCTAACTTCCTCTCCTGCTTCTGCTTTGTAGGGACCAAAGCGTAGAATGGCCAGCAGGACGTCACCCAATAGGAAGTCCACTGTATTGGCGGCCAGACGAGCGGTCAAGCCACGATACATCCCCACGTAGCCATCCACCTGCTGGATGTGCTGCACATACCGATGGACGCCGGGCAGAAAGAGGCGTGGTCGCCCGCGGAGCAGCGGCAGGTGGAAGGGCAGCGCCTGGAGCGGCTCATGGCCCAGTTGGATCAGCACCTTGGCAAACTCGTAGGGATAAAAAAGAGCATTGTAGCCCAGGCGCAGGCAAAAGCGCACCATTTCATTGGGCCTTTCGTGTTCGATGACCTTCGATGGAGCTGCCGATGTGGACGTGGATGAGGCAGCCAACTGCGACGATCCCGGGCTGTGGCCAGTTGGTTGGGCCACCTGGCTAGGAGGCCTCATCGGGCGGGAAGGCTCCGCCACTGAAGGCTCAACCACCAACTCGGTTCTCTGACTTTGACGTTGCACCACCACGTTGGTGGTGCGGCGCATCAGGGCACTATTGTCCGCATCTCCACCACCTCGGGACCACAAGAATTCCGCTGCCTCGTCATCGAGAAGATCGTACTCCATTTGCTCCATGTGCTCCATGTGCTCCATGTGCTCCATTCTCGATTCCTTTCCGCTATGTCCTCTGTCACTTCGCAAAATGCCAAACAAAAATCGAATGTAGTTAATATTTATTTAGTTTACTATTTGCTGATCAAAACGAGTTCTCCTTCAGTTGGAAAAATAATGATTATTGATTGGGCGTACTTTGGCATACAGACGTTCACATTTGACATTTTTGGCGAGGGCTGCTGGATTCGAAAACAACCAAATTGCGATATTTAATGTGTTAAGAATCAAAAAAAATATTACAAATTATTTATTCTCAAGACAATTAAATAATAACATTAGTCAGCAAACAAAAAACCTAACACAAATGGTAACAAAAATTAAGATTTAAGTATTAATCAATCTTTGTAAAATTACTTATGCGACATGTACACACTATGCATTCATTTCAAAAACAATCTAGCTTATTAATATGTGGAACAACAAACTAAATTTTAATAATAGAAACAATTAGTATGCAAAGAAAATATTGTTTAAAAACTGTTTTATTTCTAATTATTGTAAAATTACATTTTGGTTTAACAAAGAAACTGTATAAATTAACGTATTAAATTTCAATTATACTAACAACTAACATTGGCATTTATGTCTTCTTGTTACAAATAACTTTATAAAAAATTCCAATAACATTTAATAATACAATGGTATGCGTACTTATTTACGTTTTATTTGTATACATGATAATACACTTAAATAAAGCAGATTTCTTTTAAGCAAAAGTTACAATTTACTGAGAAAACTCTGATGATTCTGTCAGATTCGAAGTAATATTTAAAGAACCAAAAAAATTATTAAATTCGCATGCACTTCTTTATTGGATTCATCATTTCCTCGATTCATGCCCCAACTTGCGTTTTTCATCTCTACTTGATTACAAATCCCGGAAAATGGCATCCCACCCCCCTTTTTGAACAGGGAAACCCCTGCCCACGGCTCTCATTTACTGTTGCAACATGAAATTTCAATTAGGCTGGCCCCGCAGCCCTTTTGCTGTTTTTCTGGTCAATTAAATGCAACCATATTGGCCATCCCAATTTCGGCCCTTTTGCCACTTCTCATTGGATTGAACTGCATTTTATTTTTTTGTTTAAAGCCGTTATGTTCTAGTACCGCAGTCGAGCAAATCAAGAGCCATCGGAAAATGCCCAAAAAGGTTACAAGGTTAAAGGTTATACAAAACGATTTACTTTTAACATAAATACGAATATGTGTAAAAAAGCTTTCAGCAATTAGTCAGAAAACAACCTTAAATATATTATTTCTTAAAAAATTATTTTTGAGATGTAAAAAGTATGTTTATATGCATATATTTAAATTAACAGACCACGGTTCTGCCATCCACTCAACGACCTTGAACTCAATTTAACTCGAGAATAATTAGCCCATTGCATATCATTATTTGATGACCCACAGCAATTTTCCACTTACTTAGATGGTCGGGAGTAATGTTGAGTCAGTCGGGTTCGGCCTCTGGAGCATGGAAACCAATCACACAACCCAGTGCCCAATCGCAAGCACACCCCTTAACCCTTTCCCCACATTAACCCCCCAATGGCAATCGCATGCAATCCATTCCGACCAAGCGACCGAAAGCAAATGCAACTTATGCGACACGCACAGTTGATTAACAATGTCGCAATTTTTGAACCGAACCAACGTCGAAAATCTCGCCGACCATGGCTAAAATACACGCAGAAAGAAAACATGTTAATTGGGAGTGGATTAACACTGGTATTGCCAATATGTCATCAAATTTCTCCTTCTTTCCTTTAAAAAACATATATTAACATTATTTGTATTTTTAACCATAAAAATAAAAATCATTGAAATGTAATGTAATGTAAATGAAATTAAAATAATATAGATAATGAAAGCTTAAACGAAAAATGCTACTAAAAAGTAGAAAAAATGTTTCACAGTTTAATTAACGATTGAAATATCGACACAATTAACTATAGATTGTTTGCCAGCACTTTTCTTGGGTCTTAAATGCGCCTGAGGCGAATTTCTTTTACATTAACAAATCGAATCGAAATTAGAAATATTTTTTTCAATGTACCGCCCACCCGCTGATTCACTGAGCCTCTGGACCACCTTCACTCACCCAACTTCATCTATTCGCCACACACACTGACGCGATTATTGCACATCACTAATTAGTGATGTGTGCGACGCATCGCGCCTAAAATTTCTGACCATCAAAAGGGGGAGGGGGGAAGTGGGGATCGTGGGTGGCGAATGGATGGTCATTCAAAGTGGGTGGTGGGCGTTGGGTGATGGGTGATGGGTGATGGGTGGCCGTTGGACTCTGGTAGAGCGAGACCTGACGTTGACATTCCACTAACAGTGAAATTGTTTTCCAAATCCAAAGCTTGCATGTTAGCCACAAGCAACAACAGCCAGCGTCATTCCGAAGTGGGTGGTGATGGTGCTACTGCCAGTGGGTGGTTGGGTGGTAGTATAGATGAATGGGTGGTGGGGCAACCACGAACGGCAGCAGCGGATGAATGGCAATGAATGCGACACTGGACGGCAGACAGCAGGCAGGAGCATTTTCAGCGCCATGGCCATGGCCATGCATCACCGATGGCCTCCACCACCAGAGCACCACCATTCACCGCCCATTCACCAGCACCCACCGCCCACTTACCAACACCACCGCGCTGCAGTGGATCCCACGTCGCGTGTGTGGTAAATAGTGAACTGTTCGCATTTTCCCTGACGACCTCGCATTGGTAGCTGCAGTTCTCTATAAGAAAGGGATCGATTAGAAATTGTGTTTGACGTATTTTAATTTTGGATATATAATAATTGAAAAATTCGGCAATTTTATGAAATGTTTAAATTTATGGGTAAAATGTTTAAGCTTTTTCAAGGACCAAAAACCATTTTTTGCCTAAACTCATGCAACTAATTTTATTTTATTAATAAAAATATATGTTTTTTCATCCTAACTAACTTGTATTAAATATTAAATATTATTATTTTGTTTTATTTATTTTTGACACAGTTTTTATAGTTAACAATTTGTAATTTAAAGTATTTGCAAAAGAACAATATACATTTTTTGAAAACAACTTTTCTTTAATGTATTTATAATTAAAATCTAGCAAAAATACATTTTAAGACATAGTGAACTATACAATTCTACTTGCAGTCCAACCATTTCACAACTTCTTGTTGCATTTCCACTCGAACATTTTTTTTTCGAAGAGTACTGATGGCATTGGTGGTACCGAGGGATACTGAGAGTTAGTGGACAACGCCGCTGTCTGGGGATTAAAACTGCCGGATGCAGTGCGGAAATCAAAATGCTATGGCGGCCAGCCATCGGACACAAATGACGAGCGGATGGAGCCCGCTACCGGGTCCCATTCCCATTTCTCAAAAAAAAAAAAAAAAAACCCCAAACGGTTCAGAATCAAAATTGATCTGGGAATGGGAATGGGAATCGGACGAGGTTTCGGGAGCGGTAACAGCAGTTTAAATGGCAACTAATCGCAAAAGGCAGTTGCTCCAAGCTGTTGTGCAGAGAAAAAAAATTCTTAAGTCACCGGACTTGTTTCGAATATGTAATGTTTTAATAACAACTTTCTTAAATGTCTAATACTTTGATATCACATTATATAATTAATTGATCTTAAAAGGCTTTGCGTGTGCCATTTTTTGTACGGAAAAGTATCAGCATTTAAAGGGTTTATTTAAAAGTATATTTTACAGTGTAATATATATATTATCAATATTATTATTATTATTATTATTATTATTTCTTATTCTAAATAAGAAATTGTTTAATTGTTTATAATTTTTACTTAAAATCGGGGATGACGAACAAATCTTTTCAGTTGAAATTTGCTTGAGCAAAAGAAATTTCTGTTAAACCTCAGATTTTTTCTTTCCGTGCGGCAGAGCGCAACGGACATGGCCACGTTTAGATAGCCATGTGGAGGTGTTTGCATAATGAATGAGCCCCAACCAGTGGCAACAACAGCCGCTGACCATCAACTGCGGCTCCCGAATTGGAAAAGTGGATGGAAAATGGGAAAAGGGGAAAACGGGGTGCAGCAGACTTGGGCTCACGCACAAGACAATGAAATCAAACGACAAACGCAAATGTGATCAATTACAGTTTGTGAATTTTAACAGCAAATGGCCAGAAAGCCATTGTTGTGCATTTGCGGTGGGTATGGTGACTCTGGGCGGCCAGGGTTGCTAACTCCATCTTTGCACCCGTATGGATATGCGGCCGGAGTTCCGGACAGCCCAGTGAAGGGCCGGCAACAAGTCATTATTGTTATTATGTTAATATTCACCCAGTAGTTATCCACACGCAGGACATCCCGGAGGGAGCGTACGTGCCCCGGGAAAACGAGATTGTGACAACCAGGCGACTGCAGACTAGACTGCTTGATGGTCTGGCCATGCGGCCGGAAGTCTGTCAATTTGCGTATAATTTGTTTATGAGCTTCACACACACACACGCTTCGGCAAAAACGCCTTCAAAACGGATACGGAAGCTGGAAATCTGAGCAAGGAAACGTTTTGATTTCATTCAGCTATCTCTGTGTCTCTGAATCTCCAAGCACAGTGCTGATCGAAAAAATAGCACTATTTAATGGAATATATTTGTAAAATATTTAACCATATTATTAAGAACGGAGTTTAATATTTCTCCTTCTTTACTCTTTATTTTCGATGTTTTTTGTTTTTTAATTTATTTTCAGTAATAACAATAAATTATTCTTGAAAATTTTTATGTTTTTTCTTAATATCCTAATCAGTTAAAATACTTAATCTTAGAAAGCTTTGATTTACGATTTAATCTTGAGATAGGCAACTTATATCCTTGGTTTCCAATTTTTTTTTTTTAATTAATATAATTGGAGAAACAAATTTAAAGAAAAACATTTATTAAATTGACGATAGCTGTTCAACTCTGAGCTTTTGACACAGTCGTTGCTCGGAATATTAAAACACTTGACTGGGTCAAATGTTCATCGGGTTTGGGATCACGTGGCAAAGTGTATTAAAAATGGAAACATCAAGTTAAGCATTTAAATCAAAACAAATTCAGTCCAAACTAAATTGTTTGAATAAACTTTTATGTGAAGCCCAGAAAAAAAATGCTTGGAATCTTTAGTTAAATGGAATGTGAGATTTCTCAAAAGTTGTTTGCATAAAGTGATTCAATTTTGGACAAAATGTGGCAAGACACATACAATTTGATTGAAAATTTATGGATACAATGTATGAGTTTAATCAATGCCAAAATATTTACAAAAATATTGTAGGTATAACAAAACTATGTTGTGATAGTCTTAAATTCGCAGCTTTAATTACAAAAATATTATTTATGTAAACTTTAACTACGAAATTGTATTGTTTGTATACTAAAATAATACAAAGTTGAAGAATGTATTTTGCTAACTATTTATTAGCCTCTTATCATATTAAAAATATTCAAAATGTAAATATGTGTACACAAAAAAAAAAGTATTGCGCGATGTTAAAATAAATTATTTTATGAAAGGCAACAGTATGTAAGTAAAACTAATTTTTAGCTAAAACTTTTTTTTCTGATATGCCTTTAATACACAAACAAAAGCTTCTTTTGTACATATTCTCTTTTAGCAAATAATATTTCAATATTTTTCCATAAACTACTCAACACATAACTTTTGAATGTCAGTCATATCTAAAAGGCGGAATCGCTTGAATTTCTATATTTATATTTCTTATAATGTACAGATTCTGATTTCGGAGATCTCTACACAACTGCGAGCAAAATTCCTCATACAGAAGACAAACAGGCAATGGCACGGTACCTAGCAAAAATCGTCTATTTGGGCGCCCAGGTAGTTGGGCGGGCGCTGGTGAAGACCTTGCGCCAGGAGATCGAGGTCTGCCAGGAGGCGGCCCGGATCCAGGAGACACTGCGGGCCAACGCGCCCAGCGACCGGGATGTGGCGGTCAAGGGGATGACCCTGGTGGAGGCCCAGCAGATCCTCAATGTGAAGGACCTGAGTGACCGGCAGGCGATCGAGGCCCACTACCAGCACTTGTTCCGGGCGAACGACAAGAACTCCGGCGGCACCTTCTACATCCAGTCGAAGGTCTTTCGGGCCAAGGAACGGATCGACCAGGAACTGGCCCAGACCCACGACCACCGTTCTGCATCATCCACAGCCCCGTCACAATCCCAGTTTCAGACCAAGGAGCCGGTCCACAAAGACCAGTGATCATTCCCAACTGGAATATGGATATCTAAGCGGTTTGCAATCGATCTGTCCTGTCATGTTAATAACCAAATCTGTCATCGCATTCCTAGTACATGTATATGCTTTAATTGAAAATAAACTATACAGCAACTTATTAAAAAATACTCAACACTACAACCTCCAACTGTTTTATCAACTCTTGGTGGTAGATAACCAATTGCAAATGCGATAAGCAAAATTTTTTATTTTCAAGTATTATTTAATACTTTTTTATATGCAATCATAATCGAATAACTATGAAGACAACTATTAAAAGTGATCAACTCAACAGCCACCAATTGTTCTATTAACTCTTGGGTTTCAATTGATTGCAAATAAAAAGTGAATGTAAAACAAGTTAAGAACAAATATTAGGATTAATTATTTATTTATTTTTTATTTTATTTATTAATTTATTATTAATGGGATGGTAAACTTTTATAACCTACATTATGAGACTAAGACAGATTTTTATTGCCAATTGATTTATTCAAAAATAAAAACGTTACAAGATTTATCTCGCAAAAATATAAAAAAAATATAAAACATTTTCAATGAACAATTTCAAAAGCGGCTTTAATAATTTAAAATGCAAATAATGAAATAACTTTGTAACATGTAATAATAATAATAATACAAAAACAAGCTTGACAGTACAACACAACAATCGAAATTCCCCGGCTTTACTTTAAACATACTTTAATATTTAAATACTAAAATTTATTATTTGCCTACGCATATGAATATGAAAAGAGCAACAATTTACATTCAAATGGCGTTTTATATCTGTTCGGGACATGTCATTGATCTCTATAATGAGGCACGTTTTACCAAAGCAAAAGTTCGCCCATTCACACACATGCATATTGTATTATGGCAATTTTCAATTTGTGTGTGCATTTAAAATGCAATTTTCGCTGGCAAAGCGAGCGGCGTGGCTCAATAAAATGCAAGTGATTTATTTATACGCATTGTTGGAAGACCGGCGAGCGGGACGAAGAGCGGCTGTTCGGCTGGCGAACTCTTAATAAAAACAATTAAGTCAAATTGGCCACAATTGTAGACAAAAATGAAATAAAAACCCAAATAAATTGAAACCGAAAACGGAAAACAGCTGAACAAAAAAACAGCATCAACGCACACGAGTTGATCAAGATGGCGGAAAATGAGTGGTGCGAGTGGAAAAGTGTGTGATGCTGCAAGAAAGGCGAGCACTTAAGTGGAAATGCAGTCGAGTGTCGTCATCATCATCAAGGGGGCATCGCACCAAACTTTCACACAAGTGCGGAAAATCGAGAAGGGTGACACTTAACCAGGCAGAAAAAAAATGAATAATATATTCATGTAATTTATGTCGAATGTAAATCATGTCCTTCTTAAAATAAACATTTAATTCTCACATTTTTTATGGCGAAGTTTCTGGTTCATATTTTTTTATTTGAATCAAATAAATCGGTTTTGAAATATCTTCATTTTTTAAATAATTAAGAATAAGCATTTTAGAATTACAAATTTAGAATTACAAATAACGATTTTACCATTAACATTACTGTTTTCCTGATAATTAAATTCTTTTTTCTTTCCAATCACTGTTTTTATTTATTAAATAATATAATATTTGACAAAAAGTTTAATTGTCAATTGCATTAATTTCGTTCCGTGTACTTACAGATATTGGCAGAAGTGCAGCAACAAATGATGAGCAGCAAAGTCGACGATGCGATTTGCGTTCATCCTAGCCTTTCTTGCGTTTTTATGCGTTTTTTTTTTTAACTTCTTAGTATAGAAAAACTATTCAAGTCTAATGGCACGAAAGAGAATAATGACGCACAATACACTTCGACAGTTTAAGCGGATTCACATGATTACAGCCGAGCTGAGAGAGTAGAAAGTCGAGTGGAGAAAGCAGAGAATGGAGTGCGAGCGGTAAGTAATGATGTCTGTCGATGTTTGCAGAAACTTGTTAACCATTTGAAGGCGACAAATGTCGAGAGCATTAGACATAGTTATAGTGGAAACTGTGGAAACAGTGGCTCAAATGCTACTAAATAAATTTTTTCTTTTTTCGATACCATTTTCAATTCAAACAAAAAACGATGATGTCCTTTTTTTGATAAAACAGGCAAGAGTAATAGAGGAAGTCATTTTCTTGAAAGTTCTTGGCTTTGATAAACAAAACAAATATTCAAATATATATTTCTGGACATATATACATTAAGGAAATATTTTTTAGCTTACAAATTTCCGTATTTTGCAAATGCAGATCGGTGGATCAAAAATCTGTCAGTAAACTATATTCTTTTGAATAGATAGTAATATGAATGTTTTCCCTTTTGTTGTATAGAAACTGATCTGTAGTACAGAATTTACATATCATAGAAAATGACTGTATGCACCCACTGTACCTGTGCTCAGCTCCAGTCGGCACTTGCCAGGATCCAGAATCCAGAATCCAGAATCCAGAATCCAGGATCTGGCTCCACTTGAGCTGCTTCGGAGGAGTCAAACAAATGGCCAAAGATAGTGCAATCCGGAGGAGAGGGGCGTGGCAGGTGCCCATTGGGAAATGCTAGTTTTCACAAATTTATGGCTCTTAATTGCACACATTTAAAAAGTCGGACCATAAGTCACAATTCAATTCGATTGTCCAATAAAGTCACTGGTTAAGTGATAAAATATAAAAATGCAATGCATATCATATATGGCAAATTGCGGCTTGAGGGCAGTCTAAAAATGCCAGGCATGTGCGATATGTGTCTCTCTGATTTCCTAATTCAGTTATTATTCAAATCATATAATTTCATCTTTATGGCACGCAACGGCTACGGTGGCGGTGGCGGTGGCAACCCTGGCAGCATGCAATAATCACATTACGTATACGACCGCAGGGCCGTGCATATAAACTATGTACATACATTGCGAACGGCAAAGAAGAGAATGTGGAATGGAGTGGCCCAAATCCAATTTCCCGCTGTGCGAATGAAAATTTTCAGCTTCTCTCCTTTATTATGACATTTCTTCACGACGCTTTGTCTCCGGCTTATCCTTCATTTGCCTGCATTTATTTTATTTTGCATATTAATATTGTTAAAAGCAAGCCGCCCGTTGCGCTCCACAAAATTAGCCCGCCATTCATGCCGCATTCCGTCCATGTTCATGCCATCTTGTGTGGGCAGCGTCTGTCAGTGGGTGAAAGCGGGAGAAAGCGGGGACGAAGGCCATATCAATTTACCCACCGGAAGGCACGCAGCAGCAACATCAGTGGCAACAAAAGAATGCCACCCGATTCGGTTTGATTCGCTCCGTCTCGGCGGGAGTTCAAAAATCGTAAACATATCCCACCGTCGATGTGAAGCACAAATATATCGCATGAATACATTACAGGAAAAGCTCACAAATTGCAGGCCCTTCAAAAATTACAAAAAAAAAAGATTATGTAAATTTTATGAAAGAGATAGAACTGCAGAAAGTTTTTAAGATTTTATATTTATTGGAGAGTTAAGAACAATTTATATATAAACTTATTAATCATGCTTAATATAAAATAAAATATTTAGATTGAAACTTTTCTTTACTTACAATGCCAGGAACCTGCTGAATTTTAGTGTTCTCTGAAAGAATCTTTTTAATAATTTACATAAAGTTCATAAACATGTACATAAAATAAAATTTGAAATTGTAAATTTTTACTTGAATAATAAAATTTAGATCTTAAAACTTCAGACTTCTCTGATTTAATTTTTATTTTTTAAAGATATCACTCCTTATAACATTAATATAAAAAAAAAATATCATTATTAAAAAAAAATAAATGCATCTACAATGTTTACATCTTTTTGCTATATTGATTTTGGTTTTCTTGTATTACCTTTTTGTTTACAAAAATGCAGAGTATGTTCTATATATATATTGTTTATTGCCTTATATTGATTTAACAAATTGTAACATTTTTATGTGTGGCTTAATCCATTTAGTGTTCACTGTACCTATATAATATGAGTGCGTCTGTCCGTTTGTATACACTTATTAATGCGTATTCATTGTCACATCCGGCACGAGGAAATTATATTCCTCACCGGGCGGCCAACTTTCACCCTCAAGCCGCCCTTTTGCCCACACACAATCGCCGACTCATTCGGCGGGGTTGCCTCGCCTCGCCTTGCGGAGAGCAGACGCTTTTCTTTTGTCGATTTAATTGAAATAATTGCAAAAATGCAAATTGAATGGACAACAGTTGACACAGGATATTAACCATGGACGATGGCCAGCAGCTCGGGATTCGTCGAAGGAAGGACATGCTCCCGCCGCGCAAGGAACCTTAATGAGCTAACGAATGTACGCCGGATAATTGAGTGGAGACCATATGTACAGATGGTCGGGCGACCAAGTCGGGAGCATTGACCTCCCACGCGGATCGGGGTGGCGGTTCGGCAGGGACTGCCATTTCAATTTATGGTGCGACCAGGACATAATACCTGCAAATTATGGCCTTCATTTGAAACTCCAAAGGGGTTGGTATTAGAGCTTTCGATATATATTCTTTATTTATTGACAGCGTTTTAATACCTTCTACCTTTAAGAACAAAGAAATTCTAGAACTTTTAATTTGAATCAATCAATTGTTAGCTTTTTGGTAATTATAAGGCGAACTTAAGAATACTTAAAAAGTGAGTTCATCAAAAGTATGTAAATATAAATGTAAAAAAAAAACAAAACATTATATTTTTTGCACAGAAACAAAGCAGTTTTAATTGAAAAATTAAAACACTTTTTTATATTTTCAATTTCTTTCCATTTCGAATGTAATTTGATAAATAAAAAATGCTTGAAATAAAATAAATAAAATAATGAAGCTATTTTTTTGTTTATTGCGCCAGTAGATCTGCAAGCGGCGACTTTTGTATATAATACATTTATTTTCTTAATGACTTTACAATTTATTTATAATTTTTTTCTATCTATTTTTTTAGTGCCTACGCTCTGCTGTATTTAAAGTTCAGCCTAATCCGGGGATTCCAGCTGGCACCTCAGCAATCCGTAATGAGTGGCCAGCATTGGCCACATTGTGCGTCAATGGCTCCCGCTGTCCGTGGGCGTTTCAGGGGGGCGTGGACGGATGTGGCGGCTGTGTGGATTGAACTCCGTCCTAAGCCGCCTCCTCATCGAATGTTGTCGATGTCGATGTCGATGTCGATGATGTTGCTGCTGTGTCTGGGCAACTTCCGTTGCAGCAACAATCCCTAAACCTAAATGTGCTGGTGTATATGTGCAGCTGTCCTTTTATCCTGTGAGTGGGCGTGGCCGCAGGTTGCACCATAATTGTGTTGATTAGCTAATTAGATGTAATTTCGCGGCCGGAAATTGGCAGTTGCTGTAGCAGTCGGGCAGCCATTAGGAGGACAATTTCTATTTCCATCGGTGGCAAGGGTTTCATGCTAATTTTTAAGTGCAGCAGCAGCAGTTTGAGTGCGAGACCATAATATCGTCATGAATATGTTTGTTTAGCGCGCAGTCATGTCTCGCCTTGAAGGGTTCCGCTCCATCAGATTCAGACTAGCCACCCCCATTGCACCTCCTTCGCCCCCCTTTTGAGCCACGCCCCCTGTTCCATCCATGATGGTGACGTAAAAGTCGCGCCATAAAAATTCATTGCCAAACGAGCCAAAGTATTGCCGCAGTGGATGAGGATGAGGATGTGGCAGTGGCAATTGCCCAGAGTAGTCCAGACTGAGCTGCAAAAAGCTGGGTAACGGATCTGAAAGTTGAGCTGAACCGCAAGTCGTGACATTGGACGGAACACCCATCGAAGGATCATTTATTTCGGCTTACATGGCGTATGGGTGATTTGGGTTAATAACAAAATCGCACAGTTTGGATTTCACATTTTTATTTGGTTCTTAAATTCAGCTTTTCCCTAAAATGTTCGATTTCATTTGTACAGTGTATAGTTAGAAAATTACGCTGTTCTTACGAAATTTTTGTGTAGTGTGAAGTACTAAGTTATTGATTATGAATTTATTTTTGAGCTAATAATTTTAAAATGTTTTAATTAAGAATTTCAAAAAAAATGTTTCTTTTCAATTTTCGATATATTAAAATTAAAATTCCAGAAAAGAAAACATATTTTAGTCTTCTCTTTTTCTGGACAAAGGATAAAAAATACAATGTTTGGCTCTACAAGCTAAATAAGTTTGTGTTCTTAACACTTAGAAATTTATTATTTACTACAAAAAAAAACAAGTTATATACATTGTTATGGACATTTTATATTAAACCTGTATTCATTTTACAAAAAATTTCAGCTATGAATGATGCATAAGAACCAAAAATAGGAAACATTTTATAAAAAGGAATTGCATAAAGTTTTCTTTCCTTTTTCTTCGCTTTTCGCCTAAACAGCGCAGCGTATTAAAGAGGTTTTGGGGGCTGTGAGGAAAACGGAAAATGGAAAATGGTGGTAGGAATGGGAATGGGCATGGTAGATGCTAGATGCTAGATGGGATGTATCGCTTCAGACGCTGACTGCGAATGCTTCGAAAACGACATTGCAGGCAATGAGCTTAAGTTCAATACATTTACTTGAATTTCCAGCAAACGACAAGGACGAAGACGATGTCGTTGACTAGTTGGCTCCCAAGGATGAGTCGGAAAAGTGGAGGACGCCGAACTTGGGAGAGCTACACGGAAACAATTGTTCTCAATTTATTAAGTTTTATCTTTATTTATAATTTACTTCACATTATAAAAGGAGTTGCCAGCATTCAAGCTTTTAATAAATTGGTATTGCCTAAAAATAGACAATTCAATACCTTGTAAATAATTTGTTTTGTTTCTTGCTTTACATTAGTTTATCGAAAGTCATAATGATAATTTCTTAAAAATATTATTCTTTTTAAAAAGTGTATGTAGTTGTATTTTAATTTGTATTAATTTAAGTACAGGTTTTCTGTGAGTCTACTAAAAGTCTTTAACATATTTACTTAACTAAGAAATATTTATAAATTAAACATAAAACAGATATAAGATAGGACATATATTCTTATAAACTATAATTGCCATTGATTATACATTTGAATAACTTGAATATTTTGGTTTTTTAGCTTACCGTCTATTTGTCTATTTTTTAATATATTTTATTTTAGAAAAATTCGACTTATTACTTTAAGTAAACATTATAATTATTGTGTGCTTATTGATTTAAATTTAATCGATTCTTATCAATTTAAGCACAAGTTTTATGCATATCTAAAAGATTTACCCCAAGGGAAGTTTATTAAACTAACACAGGAATAGAAGACAATTTTATCTCAGTGTAGGAAGGCGAAGTCGAGCAACGTTGTGCCCATTACAGACAGTTTTTGTGGCGAGAAATTTCAAAAAGCTCAAATGTGCGAGGCGATAAGCAAAGCAGCAAGAGATTGGCAAGGATGGGTGTGGTTGGGTCGGGTAAGGGGTTGGGTAGGCGGTCTGGTAAGGGGTGTGGTAAGGGGTCTGGTAAGGGGTCTGGTAAGGGGTCTGGGCCAGGAGTTCAGGGGGCAATGGCAGCACTTACATGTAACCAGTCGATGGCGACAACGGGAGCCGCAAATGTTGCAAGGATTGCCGGCAAGAAGCACACACAAAATTGATGTCTATGTGTGCGGTGGATGGTTTTTGGGTGTTTTTTTTTGGTAGGGGGGGATGGTGGGAGTAGAGCGGTTGTGGGTGGCTGAAGGACAACTATTCAAAGGGAGGGGGGAGGGTAGATCGGTGGGGGCTGATTCGCCAGCACAAGTTTTGGTTTTCAAAATTTATCGCTTTTAGATAAAACGTTTTGCGTTTTTACGATACGAGCAGCGAACACTTTGGCCAACTATCCTTGCAGCTGGAGGGGATGTCCATTGTTGTGGATGGAGAGGCTGGATGGAAGTGGATGTGGGGGTGGGAGTGGGAGTGACTCCCGCCGATTCTGTGGATTATGAAGTAATTTAATTAAAACGCCTGGGCCGCAAATAAATCCGGCATTATTTATGCCGCCCTGCAAAAGAAACGTGACATCTCGTGACCGAGTAATCAGCACAATTTTATCAGAATGGTCGTTAAAACCAATAATCTTAAGGAATTAAGAGTATTATTTTTCTTCGGATTGAAAAGAAAATGTTCATTACTTCTACACTATCGTAGCAGTTTGTTGTTACTAATTGGTATTATATATTTATTTTATTAATTTATCAAAAACCGAACTATATTCAAACAACAATAAATAGTTGTTCTAGCCTTTATATCATCCCTAAACCCTTTTTGCAATAAACTAAAACCTTATATTTTCCTGGGTATTAGACTACATAGCGATTTGCTGTAAACTTATATGTATTGTATTTAATATTTTCCAGATATTTTAGGACTGAAATGAATACACTCAATAATATCCTTGTATCTTAACTTTAAATATACTTAAAGAATAAATGATATGAGCCAAAAATAAGGTAAAAACCATTATAACACTGCAAATAAGTATGTTATACCTTCACCGAATCAGGTTTTCATTCACTATTTGATAAATTTGCTATCCTTGTGGGTATTTGTGTTGTCCTTTTGCCACGTTTTATTCGGGGTAGCAGCACTTCCGCGAAGAAGACCAGCACCGCACCCAGATTCGCCCAGAGGATGAGCCAAAAGAGGGCGGCCAGTTCCCGCATGGAGAGCACATTGCGGCGACCGGGGGCCACCGGCTGCTCCTCCGCCTCCGTCAGCCGGGGATCGCCATCGATGCCATCCAGGGTGCTGTACGCCGTGGTGGCCATTCTGGCCGCACCCTCGTCCGTCTCGTCCACGGCACTCACATACCGTCGCGTCCAGTGCTCCAGGAAGCCATGGGAATGGGCATGCTGGATCTGCTTGTCCAGGACACCCACCAGATGCGAGTGTCGTCGCACATAGAAGGCCAACTGCTGGGTGTAGATGCGTTCCCGCACCAAGTGCAGTTTCCTGCTCATCGCATGCACCCTCCTGAAGTAGCCAAAGTACTCGTAGGGGGTCAGGATGGCCACCCGCGCCGAGGAGCCACTCTGCTGGGCCAGGGCTGGAAAGGATTGCAGCTCACTGCCCTCGAGGTGAACCAGCTGCTCGGGTCGCAGCTCCGGCAGACTGGCCAGAATCCTGGCCTCATTCACCGCGGCCAGCTGAATGGTGAATCGCTGGGCCAGCACCTCGGCAATCGTCTGTGGCGGATTCCTTTGGGTGTCCTGGCGCAGCAGCTGATACATTCCCGACTGGTAGCCACCCCGCAGCACCAAGGTGGCGAACAGCCAGGTGAGCAGCAGCAGGCGTCCACAAGTTCCACGTGGCAGCCATCGATCCTCCAGATTGCCACCCATGGTCAGCACCAACAGCTGGTAGTACGGATGGCGGGGCAACTCGTGGCCACGCCACCATCGATCCACCATCAGGAGGAGCAGGCAGGCCAGGATCAGGACCAGGCCAATGGCTCGCCACAGGAGGGGATCGAAGGGAAAGGCCAGCTTCTCGTAGGCGGAGTAGGCACTCTGCAGATTGGTCACCAGCATGATGTGGCTCATGAAGTAGTAGGTGGACTGTGAGTAGGGAATCTCACTGCCAGCACTTGGTTTGAAATGGAAGCCACCCAGGGAGAAGTCCGCATGGTGGCCAAAGATCTAAAAGAATGGGGAGGATAATATCACAGTTTATAGGGCGTGCCACCAAAAAGTCCCTAGGATTTTCAAATAATTTGCAAAAGTGTCTAAAAGTATGCAATGAAAAATGTGAACTTCCGCTTTTGTAATAAATTTATTGAACTTTTGGACGCAACATATCTTAATGCATATTTATAGACTACGTTTTCAGTAATGTCAAAGGTAATTATTAAATTTAATATGCTAATTTAAAATTATCACCGTCTAAAAAAAAGTATGCAAGACGAACTTTTTCTTCAATCGGTAAAACGGAAGTATGCCAATTAAACTTTATTATCTTATCGTTTAATTTTCATTGGCAATTTTGTTTCGAAAAATATCGATCCTAATTAAAATTCCCCAAATAATGTTGACTTAACAGCCGAACACAGATTGCAACTATGTGATATATTGTATATTGCATACTTTTAGACACCTTTAATAGGTGATTTCAAATTTTCTGAATGTAGTTAGACCCACCTCATCGAAAATCCTGCCCGACTCGTCGAAAGTGGCCAGCACCTCCTCCTTGTTCATCCAATAGAGACCCACGCTGAAGTTCAGATTGTCGGCCATGAACTGGAGCAGGGCACCCTCGATGCCGACGAAGGATCCGCTACCGTCGCGCCGCCAAACCAAATAGGGCATGTCCTCCCAGGTGGCACAGGTGAGTAGACAGCCATAGAAGTTGCCCAACTTGGCGGGAAAATAATCCTGGCTTACCCATTGCCGTGCCGGCAATTGATAGCGATTCACCACATTCGCCGAGATCATTTGGCAACCATGGGTGGCGCTGAACGGAAAATAGCTTACCATGAGGAACTGGCCGCCTGGAGGACGCACGACCACGCCCACATTCAGCACACTAAGGCGCCACAAGAGCTGCAGGCTCAACTGAATCTCCTCACCATACGCATCCGTGGGCAGGGACATGTAAACCAGAGTGTAGGATAAATCCTGGGTGGCTCGAATGCGTTCGTAAATGGCCGAAAGAGCTGGAAAATCATCCACCAATGCCAGGACAGCATGTGCATAAGGCTTGTACTCCATGGATTGCTGGAGGAACAGCCTCCTCGCCTGCAAAGTGGTCGGCAAAGTCACCAGCAATTGGGTGAGCAGCTCCTCCAAATGGCCACCAGTTGACCGGACACTTGAGTGGGTATGGATATACACGGTCTTGAAAGTGCCCATCTGCGAGTTAACCATTACGTGAGCCAGTGCATCCACCAATTCCGTATCCAGTTCGGAACTCATTGTGTTGGTCACCAAGAAGCAGCAAAACAATATGTATAACCAGTACTTCATGGCGAAAGAGTTGCCCAACTAATGTGGAAATGTAAGCACTTCAACCGGGAGTTTTAACATCCCGGGGGAAATTTTGTGGAATTACTTTGGCCAAACGCGTTAATCATGTCACATTAAAGGCAATTACCCTGGGGACCTCAGTTGGCTGCCCACTAATGATCAAGATTTATTAACTTACAGGCATCTCATATGAGTGCTGTTAATAAGTATATACTAATATTGGTTTTTGGTTGATATGATAGTTTGAAATATATTAATAAATATTGTTTGTTAGCGGTTTCTTCGCTAATCTCCAAAAAACGTATATGTGCTTATCTTTAGCAACATATTAATAGTGAGTGGTGCCATAACTTAAGCTTTTAGCAGCAGGAAAAATATATATTGATATAAAAACCAGTTACAAAAGCTTACAAAAAATTCACTTTAAAAACTAATTTTATTTTTTGGATACAATTTCCTTTCGCTCTGTTTACTCAAAATAATTTAAACATTGTTTGATATTAATAATATCAAAATAAAATAGTACTAATAATTTGAATTTTGAATTTAATATCCTTTCGAACTGTTAACTCAAAATAATTTAAGCATATCTATAGCTCCTTTAACAGCCCAAATCATATGCTTTCAGAAGATCCTAAAATTTTTAACAATTTTCGAGAATATCTCAAAAACGAGTTTCAAAAAAGTGTGCTGGCAATCGCAGTTTTTTCTAACCAAAAACAGTCCAAATTTGTAAAAAGTTTTTACACAAAAAAAGCCAAGCCGTCTCATTGTTATTATTTAATAATTTTATATTTATCGGCATTATTATTAAAAGTCTAATCATCAACATCATCGTCGTCGAAATTGAAGTAGTCGATGTCGTTGTCATCCCGTTCCTTTCTGCTGCTGCTATCCCTGGGCTCACTGCTCTCCTTGGGCTCCTCAATGTCCAGGTCATCCGCCTCGTCATCCGGCTCGGCTTGGGGCTCCTTCTCCAGGGGATCGCTGCCCTCGGCCTCGAACAGGCTGCGCTCGGCGGCACCCAGTTCGAAGACGGGCTCATCCAGGTCCTCCACCTCTGCTTTGGACTTCGCCGCAGGCGTGGAGATCTTGCCCAGAACGGGTGGCTGTACCTCCACCCGGGTCAGATTGGTGTGGTGATTCAGCATGCCCTTGTAGAGATGGGGAAACCTGCGCTGGAAGTCCATTTTGATGCGGAGCAGTCTCTCCAGCATGCCGGGCGTCAGGAGGTTCTGCTGTGACCCCTGACCCATGATGTGCGTATCCCGGCGCCGGCGACCGTCCTTCAGGTAGGCATCGTAGCTCCCGCCGCCCGTGAACAGTGGATGGTGCGGATCGTAGGCCTTCTCGTTCCAGGGATCATCGGGTCTGGCCACCGGGAGCAGGCCCATGAACGGATGCAGCAGTCCCTCGTCGAAGGTGAAAATGGAACCCACTTGGGGGTCAGATGAGGGTGTAGGTGCTGGTGCTGGTGCTGGTGGAGGTGGACTTTCGATTTCGGATTCGGTTTCGGATGGTGCTGATGATGGACTGGATGGATATGCAAATGAGAAATGGACATGGATGGTTTGAGGATGATTAGTTGACATGCTACAACTTTACTACTACTAGCTTACGATAATGGTTATTGACACTCAGTAAAAAAAATGACTTTGAAGATAAGCCTACCAATCACATAATTACACTGGAAAAAACGTTATAAATACAAATATTTTGAGCTCAATTGAAATATTTTTCGCATTGCTGTTTTTAGTTTGACTATTTTCGGAATTGATTTCAATAACTGACAATTTCAACTTGAATAAAATGCATTAAAATCAAATATTAAGTATTTTAAATCTAATATTTTTCACATTAATTTAATAATAATAATATTAAATCATGAAATAAGTTGTTAATATTATGATTTAATATTTAATTAAATATTTAATATAAATTCTTGAATTCCATAGTCAAATATTTTTGTTTAACTTCCTAACTGTTTTTGTCAGTGTACGTAAAAATCATCAAACAAAATGGCTTAATAGTTTTAGGGTAATTTGGCATTTATACACTTGGTAGTCTCATCTTTAAGGCCACCTTTAGTCCTTTATTCCTTAATTAAAGGAACTTTTCCTAAAATTATGGAATTTGAGTGTAGTTAGATTAGGGTTAGTTAGTTTGGATTAAGGGTCTTATGCATTCGATTGGATGAAACTTCTGATAGTAGTGGTGGCCATGGGTTTGTGTTGCCTTCCGCGCAACCTCTTTCGCTTGACGAGTTTGGTGGGCGTGATGGGCGTGATGGACTTGATGGGCTTGATGGACTTTGGTTCCTTCGAAAGGGTATTGCTCTGTGATCGCAGAAGACTGGCCCTTTTCTCTTTCTCGATTTGCAGTCGCAGCAGATCCTTGAGCACATCCACCAGGCTGTCTAGTTTGCTGCTACTCACACTGGCCTGCGCGGTGACCTGTGACCCCTTGACCTTTTTGCCCACGCTGCTGACCTTACGGGGTCGCTGTGGCATTCTCGCCTGGCGAGTGGATCGCACCCAACCCTCGACGTCAGCGTCCTTTGTGGTTTTCGGACTAGGCGTCCTCCTCCTCCGCACAAACTTTCCCCGCATCGCGTATGGAGTGGGTGTGCTGCTAGGGTCACCACCGGACTCACTGCCACTGTCGTTCAGCGCCGCATTGAGCAGCAGTGCCTGCTGTTTCACACTCAATGCCCTTTTGGCCTTGCCCTCCGTTGCATCGGCCGTGGGTTCGTCCGCCTGGAATTCCGGATAGGCCGAGTACTCCTGACTGCCGGTGCCCACGTAATTGCAGGGCTTCGGCAGTTCCACATTCTGATTCGGATCATGGCTTTTGGTCAGGTAGTCCGTGTCGTAGCCCCGATTGGCCAGAATGCGCTGCCAATTGCGATCATCCTCGTGGTCCAGTTCATTGGTGGTGCCATCTATCCTGGCTTCGGCATGGGCCATAATCGACTTAAATTCGGCTCTAGTGCCCGGAGTCTCTGTGGTTGTGGTGGTGGTGGAGGTGACTGTCTCCTCCTCGTTCTCTTCCTGCTCCTCCTCCTCCGGATCCACTTTCTGCACCTCTTTGGCATCTCCACTCTCCGTAACTGTCTTATTGTTAGCAACACTTGGCATTAACTGGTTGCACCTGTCGTTCAGCTTGAGGATCTCGCCCTTCAGCTGATCCACAATGCTGTGCAGGTGATGGATCTCCGCCTCCTGCTTGGATATCGATTTGGTCGCATGGGAACTCTCGGCCATGGAGTCCTGTTGCATGTCGCCATCCTCAACTTTTGGGAGTGCCGTAACTTCTGTCGTGGATACTTCCGTTGGAGGAGGTGCCTCTGAAGTGGACTCACTGCCTGCGGGAGTGGTGGTCTCAGTGGTGGTTGTGGTCACAGCTGGTGCCGCCGTCGAAGTGGTTAGACGCACAAAGTCCTGGTGGTTGTACTGCTGCTGCTGCTGCTGCTGCTGCTGCTGCTGTGTGTTGGGTTCTGGCTGCGATTGCTCCTCCATGGCCGGCTGCTGGATGCCCTCCTCGTACTGATCTCCACCGATTTCCAGGGGCTCCATGCTGGCCTGCTCCAAGGCCTCCCGAATGGAGGCCGCATTGTAGCGCATCAGTGCCTCGGCAGGATCCTCGTCGGGCGTCAGGGTGATCTCCTTCAGACCCATCTTGTATTCGCGGCGCAGTTCGTTGAGGGAGCCTTCGTCGATGGCCTCCAAGGTTCCGTACTCGGCACTACGTCTGCTCCTGCGGTTGGCCTTGCACTGGCAGTAGCCAGTTGAGGCCCATCTGCTCCTGCCACACCGACAATTCCTGCCACACTGGCACGCCAACCGGCCGCATCCGCAACCCTTGGATGTGGCCTCCACTTCACCCAAACCCCTAACCAACCTGCGGTAAATGGCTAACCTTTTGTGGACTCGATGTGGCTGCAGTTGCTCCTGCGAAGCTCCTCCCGTCGTCGTTGGCGGTGGCGTGGAGTCCGCTCCGCCGACTGCTCCTGATGGCTGAGGGTTTATTGTCTGAAATGCGTCGCCTGTTTAATGCCATGAGCAAAAGGCGAATGAATCGTATGAAATGAATCAAATGGCGGCAACTTTCTACGTGTTCTAATGTTTTGTGTGTGCTGTGCTGTGCGGTGTGCGGTGTGTGTGTGCGGTGTGCGGTGTGTGTGTGCTGCACAATGTGGTTTGGTCTATAGTGGTTCTACTTGAGTCTCAACTTACCCTGGCCATCGTTTGGTGCTGGCGCAGCATTTCGTCGACCTCATCGTTGCCCACGGCTGTGCGATAGCCCTGACCATGATAGTAGTTGGCATGGACGGGACCGTAGGCATTCGATCCATAGCCACCGCCGCCATAGGTGGTGCCATAGCTGCTACCATAGCTTGGGGCAGCAGGTCGTTGGGGAGCCGCATAGTAATAGTTGATAACCGTCGGGGGCGAGGAGTGCGACTTGGACTTCTTGCGCTTGTCGCCGCCGAGTCCCAGGAAGTCCACTGTGGGGGATATAGACGGCACTGAGTCAGGATGGCGGAACACACCGAAGAGATTACCTTTGTGCCGGGCGATGCCCTCGTTCTCCGGCATCTGGGGACCTGCCTCGCCGACCATGTGCTCCTCCTGCTGCATTTGGATAGCCTGGGCCTTCTCGTCGGCCCACTTCTGGGCTGCCTCATCCTCATTTGCCCACTGACGCATCATGGGAGTCTGGTGCTGCGGCTGCTGCTGCATCATCATGGGATTCTGCTGGATCATTTGGGCTGGACTCTCCGCCATCTGACGCTGCTGCTCCATCATCTTGGCCTGCTCCTCTGTCCACTGTCTTTGCTGCATCATCATGGGATTCTGTGGGGCCATACGTTGTTGGGCCATCTGCTGATCCTGCTGCATCTTGGCCTGCTCCTCGGACCACTGTCTCTGCTGCTGCTGCTGTTGCTGCTGCTGCATCCTGGCCTGGTTATCTGCCCACTGCCTCTCCTGCTGCATCTGCTGCATCACCTTGGGATCCTCTGACCACTGCCTTTGCTGCATCATCATGGGGTTCTGGGGCTGAGCCATCTGTTGCTGAGCCTGCTGAATCCTGGCCTGCTCCTCGGACCACTGTCTCTGCTGCATCTGCATCTGCTGCTCCATTTGTGGACCCTCGGCCATCTGTCTCCGCATGGGTGGATTCTGAAGCTGAGGGATTTGTTGGATCGTGGCCTGATCCTCGGACCACTGTCTCCGCGTCGGGGCATTCTGCTCCTGGGTGGGTGGAAGCGGATCACTCTGCCTTTGCTGCATCATCATGGCGTTCTGGGGCTGAGCCATCTGCTGCTGAACCTGCTGAATCCTGGCCTGCTCCTCGGACCACTGTCTCTGCTGCAACTGCATCTGCTGCTCCATTTGGGGACCTTCGGCCATCTGTCTCTGCATGGGTGGATTCTGAAGCTGAGGGATTTGTTGGATCGTGGCTTGATCCTCGGACCACTGTCTCCGAGTCGGGAAATTCTGCTCCTGGGTGGGTGGAAGCGGATCACTCTGCCGTCCAGTTGTCCTGTAGGCGGCGTACACCTTGTCCTTGTGGCCCTTCTCACCCTCCATCTGCTCGCTGGCCATGCGGTAGGCATAGGCCATTATCTGGACGATGTCCTCCTTGGACATGGTCTGATCCTGGATCTTGGCCTGTCGCTTGAGGCCACTTGCCTGTCTGGCACCTGGCTGTGCCAAAGTCCTGGTCTTGCGCTGCGCCTCCTTGGCGACCAAGCGACGGACATAGTCATCCCGCAGGGCCTGCTCGATGTCAGCGCGGGTGATCTTGTGGACGGGAGTGCGACTCAGGGGATAGTTGAGCCTGTAGCCTGTGGCCTCACCATCGGCACTGGCCCTCATCTCCTTGGCCATCAGCTCGATCTTCTGCAGCATTTTCAGTTCGGCAATGACCTGACGCTCGAAAGCCCTCAATTTGGCCTCCACGCGAAGATCGTCCACTGACTTCTCCTCCGTCGCATCTCCCTTCTGAGTGCTGGGCATGCGGAACCACAGCAGAGGCACTTGCTCCCTCTCCCTTTCCATGGTCGACTTGATCTTCTGGTGGGCCATCTCCGCCTCCGACGAGTGGGCAACCTCGGGACGCACCCTCACCTCGGAAATATCCGAGGACTGGGCATCCGTGCCGGCGGCAGGTGTTGCCTGAGCTACCGGTGTCATTCCCGGGAAGAATTGCCTTTGCATCTGGGCCACAAAGTCCAAGGTGGAAGGAGCGGCCTGACCAAGATTAGGTAGCGGGGGCATGGCCTGTCCAAGATTGGGTAGCGGGGGCATGGCCTGTCCAAGATTGGGAAGCGGGGGCATGGCCTGACCAAGATTAGGGAGCGGGGGCATGGCCTGACCAAGATTAGGGAGCGGGGGCAAGGCCTGACTAAGATTGGGTAGCGGGGACATGGCCTGACTCAGCAGCGTGGACATATCCAAGTTCGGCGGCGTCATTGAGTTGAAGGCATTCTGCAGCGATTGTCCCAGAAGGAATGGCACTTGGGGAGCATCCGCTGCTGGAGGATCGGCGGCTGCAACTGCTGCCGGCGGAGCTGGTGGCGCTGGATCAGCAGCTGGAGCAGGAGGATCAGCTGCAGCTGCAACTGGCCCTGGAGCCGCAGCACCCAGGAGGCCAGGCAGTGGCGGCATTTGGGCCAGAAACGAGCCCACCTGCGGTCCCATGTCAATGTTGGGCAGTGCAAAGTTCTCCGGCCGGAAGCCAAAGTCCTGCGGCCAGCTCATCATCTGGCCAAAGGGATTGGGCTGCGGTGGATTCTGACGGGTCACCCGGGTCTTCGCCGTGGCATCATCGGCCAGCACCAGCACCACCTTGGAGGCAGCCGCCGCAGGCTGCATGTTGTCGGAGAAGGCGCCCAGCAGCGATTGGGCCGGGAAGAGGCTGCTCCAGCGGAAGATGCTGCTCAGGGCGGGGAATATCATGTAGAAGGCGTCCATCTGCGGACTGCCAGTGCGGATGGGGGCAATGGGCGGCATCTGTCCCAGGATCTGGAAGGCAATTTTAGATTTATTTGAAAAATTCTATTTCACTTTTATTTAAGTGTGAGGTCAGACTAGCTTTTATTTTGAGTATTACACTGAAGATGTCATAGAAATTAGTTAAACTAGTAATTTTTAAAAATGTATATATATTATTATTACAATAAAAATGATAAAACATAACATTTTAATCTTTCAATTGAACAAAAGTATAAATGATACAAAAATGTACCAACTTTTACTTGATCACCGCTTTTCCTTAATTCATTAAATCATTTTTTTAAAGTTCTTTAACCACATGGCAATAGCAATTCTTTAGCTTAACCAAATTTATGGCAATTAACTTAGTCTCACTTTTCTTCACTTTTCCTTAAGTACAGTGCTATTTAAATTTTTTCATTTATTTATTATTGCTTCTGCTTTAAGAGATTACATTTTTGTGGATATTGTTAAAAAAAAGAGTTATAAATTCCTATTATTGTATCATGTATATAAACATTTTAAGCAAGATTGAGTTTGTTAAAAATCACTGAGTTAACAGAGTAATTTTAGATCCATAAATGGCTATAGGCTTGCTTAAGATATTTATATATTATATTTCACTATCTGGAGAACTTAAATTTGTTTAGAAATTAATCAAATCAGTAGCTAAAATTCGACTGAGTAGCTTTGTTCTTCAAATCGCTATATATTTATATAAAATATGTAAATAAATACATTTAACTATCTATATTTATCAATATTTCATTAATTTTCCACCTCCTTCAACTTGAAACACTAGAAACACTTGTTTTTCCACTTGCAGGGATACTACTATTTACTATATGTGTTCCCCAAACGAACTCACCTCGTCCTGGCTGGGAAACCTTAGTCTGGTGTCCGTGGATGAGTTGGTCGTTGATTCGCCATCCGGCGCAGGAAGTCCGGAGCCAACGATGGCCTGGCCTGGGCACTGGCAAGAAACGTGGACGCCGAGGAGCGCCAGGAGCGGCAGCAGTCTGTGCAATCTCATCCTGTGGCTGGTCAAAACTCTGCGCAAGATCGATGATCGATGATCGGTGTTCGCCGGAGCTCGTTGGCCGACTGACTGCTGTTGGTCGTCGGACGGTGGTCCAAATAGATTTTTTGCCACCGCGTCGGCGGTGCAGAAAAGCAGACGTCGTCGAATTCGTGACCCGTACCGAATCCGGGTCCGCCACACGCACCGGAGAAGAGTGGAAAAGTGGAAGAGTGGAAAAGTGGAGAAAACGGGGAGAACAGCGTTTCCGTGTGTGTGACCCCAATCGAAATTCAAAATTCGGACCGCAGCAGCCGCCGCAGCTGCAACCGCTGCAAAAAACCTTGCCCAACTATTCTGCCGGCCAGCTTTTTCCACGAAATCAGCGCAAATGATGCACAGTAGACAAGTCGAAAGAGAACAGGTCCGGAAAGTTGCACCTTTTGTTAACAAAAACGCGATAAAATATATGGATGGCATAGGGTATTTTCACATGGTTATTTTCAATATCTTTATTAGACTTTTAAAAACAAACAATTTGGAATAAAAAAATACAAAACAAAAGCACCTGTATTGTAAGAAATTTGTAAATATTATTAAATATTAAAAAACATATAATAACTTTGCCAACTCGAAGTCAAAATTAGTTTAAATTACCAATAAACCTACTTTATAATCATAGTATTTTATAGCAAGTGCCCATGAGTATAATAATGTTACCAATTAGTTGCCACACTTAAAAAAAAAAACTTTATAAAATGTGTGTTAAATATGATTTTTTTATTTTTTTTCCATAAATTTTGTCGAATTATGTTCAAATTTCCTTTTATTTTAATATAGCCCATAACAATGAGAATTTCAGCAAATGATACAATATGTTTTTTTTCTTTTTCATAAATATATAAATGAAACTTACTCGCAATCAATTTTGATCTATGGCTTCGAAAAATTACTTAAATAATTACCAAGCTATTAAAATATATATATATTATTATATACACACACTTTTCGTTCAAATCCGGCACTGATTTTTGTCGAGGGTCGTGGTGGGGCTGCCCTTCAAGCGTCGATCCCCGGAATTCTTGCGATCGTCGTATCGTTTGTGTGTCACCAGAACCTCCACAATTGCCGCCGGCACCAACAGCACCTCCATCACTTCGAGCACCACCACCACCACAAGGTTTGCTGAGGTCAGCGGTGGTGCAGCTTGTAGCGACACGAAAAACAAAAGTTTTTGTCATCGCAGCGGGTGGTTATGCAGAGGTCAGCGAAAAGTGCGAAAAGCAAGAGCAAGTGCATTTCTTCAACTCGGTACAGCGACCTTTGCTTGGTTCACAATCAGATTGACCAGATTCTGATCACTATTAAATTACACACGGCCCTAAACTAACTACATTTAATCACGATTAAAAGTTCAATTCCAATTAAAAGTTCATTAAATAAAAACATAAATTTTCTTAAAATATTAAAGTAATCATGGCCTTATGCATGGCACACGTGGGTACAAGGTCACAAGGTCATTTAGTTATTATACATTTTAATTTATGATTATTAATGTTATATTTAAAAAAAATTGTTTAAAAGCCAGTTTTAGCATTGAAATATATTTTAATTCAAAAGTATAAATGGTACACATTTATTTTAAGAACTTCTACAAATATAAAATTATGTTATAATTAATATTTTTGTTTAAAAACTCCGATTTCATATTGTATTATTTTCTGCATGTAAAAATATGATTATGTTTTGTTTTTATTTAATTACCCTCAAACTGCTCGAAAAATATTTCTGACTCGCCAAAAAGAGCCGTGCAAAGGTGCTAAAAAATTTTGTTCTGTAAATTGATGAGCTGATCAAATTTTTCCAAAAATATTTTTTATAACCTACATATATAACCTTTTTATACTTACACAAAAATGACAAAGCAATAACCAAAGGTTGCATATATATATTATTAAATGTTATATATTTAAAGTTAATTGATTGTGCATTTGCATTTCCAGATGCCGCAGATAGAGCTTTTAGCACGCAATTTCACCCGCCAGTTAAGTGATTCCTTCTTGGATAATAGTAACGAGCTAGTTCACTGAAAAAAAAATATTTTTTATTATGGGACGTATATGTAGTATTGTGAAAGTAAAACATTATTAAAATTTAACAATCGGTTGTTTCTTTTTTATTTAAAGCCACTGTTACATTTACAGATTGCCTTTAAAGGCATACAATCGATAACTAATTAATTAAAATACTATTTTTTTTATTGATGTTTGATGGATTGCATATATATATATATATATATATATATATATATTTAATAATTATTTCACTTAATTTACATTAAATTTTATTGGAATCCATTCGCTATTATATTAACATAACATTTTTTAATATTTTTTGCTATGATATGTTACAAAGTTGTCAAAGAATTTATCGTATTTTATAGCTTTTGAAACTTCTAAGGTTAAATATATTAAAAAGACATTTATAATAATTAATAAACATTTAATTCCTTTTATTCACTGACACTTTAGGACAAAAGCAATCACTGAAAAGTGGAATTTTGTAGCTGTGTACTTTGTGTATTTTCAGTGTAGTAGCCCATCATGTAATAGGATGGTTGGAACCGTTCAGGACTTCAGTTGGAAAGGAGCCACTGCTGGATCGTCATGTTGCCGAGCGGTGTGCACAACGTGAGCCTCGTTTACGCCCTGGTCTGGGCCATCGATAATTTCTACGGAAGCGGCAGCAGCACTCCACTGGCGGTGGTCCAGTTCGCCACCAGTGCGGAGAATCGTGGCCTCCACAACGACCTGATCGATGAGGTTCTGGTCCGATCCTCGGGCACGGGCCGAATCCAATTCGTGCTGGAGGACGAGCACGTGGAGAGCACGGGAAACCATAAGGATCTGCCACCGCCGAGTGGAGTGACAGGCAGACCCATGGCCATTTGGTTCCTGGACAGTCTGCTATCGTACTTCCGACTGGAGATGTACCTCAGTCAGCCGGGCAGTTCGTACAAACGGAACGGCTACTTTGTGGTGGTCTACACGGGGCAGGAGGATCGCCCCATGAACACGGTGCAGATCATGTTCCGGCGACTGCTCAACATGTATGTGCTCAATGTGAATGTGTTCCTCCAGCGGGAGAGCACGGTCGAGCTGTACACCTACTATCCCTATGGACCGCATCGCTGTCAGTCCTCGCTGCCTGTGTACTATACCGCCTTTCAAAACATGCCACCACCGGCGACGGGACTCGGACTCACCAAGCCGCTCTTCCCCAGCAAACTGGCCAATATGCATGGCTGCCCTCTGGTGGTGGTCACCTTCGACCAACCGCCCTTTGTGCTCATCGAGGATGATGTGAGGGAAAAGGGGGGCAGGATTATGCGCGGAATCGAAGGCATGATCTTCCGCAGTCTCGCCGAACGGATGAACTTCACCTTTGAATTGGTGGAGCGGCAGGACAAGGACCGCGGCCAAATCCTGCCAGATGGAAATTTCACGGGCATTCTCAAAATGGTAAAAATACTCACATTTTGTTATTAATAGTTTTCAATTTGTTCTCCACATTATTTATTTATTTTTTTGGAAGGGCTATCCATCATAGTAAAATGCCTCGAATAGTTATAAAATGTAGTATTCTGATACGAACGTATTTCAAACTTGATCTGCACAATCATATAAATGGCAAGCAAAAGTTGGGAAAATGTTAAATTTTGTAGCCCACGCAAAAAAAAAGTCAAGAACAGAGAAAAAAAAATTTTTTGTTCTTACAGATATTAAAAATGCAGCTCAAGCGAGTGTAAAACAAAAAAAAACTATTTATAACATCACAAATTGAACAAGAAGTCATAAACAGATTTTATTATATTTTTGTTTTATTTTAACACGTTAAAAAGGCAAGGAACATTAAAGAAAGTGTACATAAAGCACTTATAGCATTTCAAAGTTAAATAGAAAGTCATATTCGGATTTAAACATATTACTTTATATTTTGTCACATAATAAAAATGGCAAGGGAAATGTACAGAATGTAAAAGCAAATCTTTTAGCTCAAAAAAGAGGATTCTCAAAATTACAACCTTAACAAGAAAGTCATTATCAAATTGTAAGCAAAATATTTTCCATTTCTTGCACACATTAAAAATGTCAAGAAAAATTTAGAAAATGTAAAATTTTTCCTTAACCGAGGGTTGTACAAAGAAATATAATACGTGTATTTTATATATCTGTATTTTAGTTACTTTTAACAAACTAACTTTTTACATAAACAATTTCCTGTTGTACTGTCCGCACTCACTGTTCACTGGTCGCATACGTAATGTCAGCCCCTTTAATTGAGTATACGCATGGTGATCCCTTTCAGATAATCGATGGCGAGGCAAATGTGACGTTCGTGTGCTTCATGTACAACAAGGCCCGTTCGGAGCTGATGCTGCCCAGCATATCCTACCTGAGTTTCCCGATTGTGCTGGTAATTCCGGGCGGTGGATCGATGACGCCCATGCAGCGCCTGACCCGCCCCTTTCGCCACATCATCTGGTCGTGCGTGGTGGTCAGCCTGTTCCTGGGCCTCGCGCTCATCGCCCTGCTGAGGCTGCGTGCGGTGCCGGGACGACTGCGAAACTTGGTGCTGGGCAGGCACAACCGATGGCCATGCCTGGACATGTGGAGCATCCTGGTGGGCGGCCTGGCGCTCTTCAGTCCGCGCAGGAATTTTTCCCGCTACCTGCTGCTCCTGTGGTTGCTGCAAACCCTGGTCCTTCGGGCCGCCTACTCGGGTCAGTTGTTCCTGCTGCTGCAGGATTTGGAGATGCGTGCCCCGCTGAGGAGCGTCTCCGAGGTGCTGGCCCAGGGCTACGAGTTCCACATGCTGCCCGCCCTGCAGACCGTCTTCCGCGACTCGATGCCCAGCAGCCATGTGCGGGTGATCCCCACGCTCGAGAACGCACTGTACCGCATGCGGGACGAAGACGATCCGGGCATAGCGGTGCCGGTGCTGCAGCCCACGGTCTACCAGTTCGACTACCGCTCTGGGCCAAATGGCAGGCATCTGACCACCCTGCCCGTGCCCCTGATGACCGTGCCCATGACCATCTACATGCGACCCCATTCCTACCTGAAGAAGCGCTTCGATCGCCTGCTAATGGCCATGATGTCCTCGGGCATTGTCTACCGCTATCGCCGCATATATCTGGACAGGATCGAGAGGCTGGCCAAGAAGCGCAACGTGGAGCCAAGAGCTCTAACCCTCTGGCGACTGGGCGGGATCTTTCTCTGCTGTAGCATGCTACAGCTACTTGCCATCCTCGTCTTTGTCCTGGAGATTTTCAGCAGCAGACATCCGCGACTGCGCAGGACCTTAAACGCAATCAATCGATTCACGGCATAGGCTAGTTTTCAAAGTAATACATAAACATAATTGTTGAATATACCCACAGAATAAAACAAATTGAAACCAGAAATAAAGGATTTTTTTAAATTTTATAAACAGTAAAAAGTAAATTTCAAAACTGTCACAAAATAGCTTTTAAGAAATGTTGTTAAATTGTTATTTCAACTAAACCACTAAAATTGAATGATTTTGGGCTACGTTAAAAGAAAATATCATACAAAAATTATACAAAAAAATAAATTAACTAATTAAAATAAATTATATTTCTCTTTTCAAAAGATATGGCTTATTGGTAACAGACAATTTTAAAACCGCAACAAATAAAACCAATTGATGGGAATTTAAACTAGACAATATTGTAATCATAAAAAAATGTAAGTAAATTTCAATTTTAAACCTTAAAATTCTTCAAAAAAAAGGCTGTTTAATAGAGATTTTATTACTAAATTAAAAAAAAGGCTTTTTTATAGAGATTTTATTGGTAAAAATCGAATTTTCTGTACAAATTGGAAATAATATTATTTTTCTCTATTAAAAATGTTTTGTTTCAAGGCTGACAGAAGAACATAGTGCTTTTCCTTTTTAAATATGACATTTAACATTAATATAATAACGTAAAAGTGAAACAAATCATGATCAAATTCTCTCCATTAGCCAAGTCAATCTCGGCGAGCGGTGCGTGTGACTGAGGTGCTCTAGCCCAAAAACGAGAATGGAAACGCCGAGGGCTGCCATCAGGCAGTTAAGGGCCGCCAGGACGAAGCCCATGGATTTGGCGAATCCCGTGGCAGCATCCTCACGTTGAGCATATCGCGCCGATCTGGGATCCGGGGCATCCGTGGTGGTGGGCATGCTGTTCCACGCGAGGATCTGCGAATGGTGCTGGAACAGGCCAAAGCTGCGCATTTTGAAGAGCAGATGACTGATCTCCCAGGCGAAGTAGGAGCCATAGGGAAAGTACATGCATATCATATTGTCGACGATCTTCTCGGCCAGAATCACCAACTGACTTCGATGGTTTCTATGTTTGACCAAGTATTCGGCCAGAAAAGAGCGACTTGTGAAGGCGCCCGTTTTCCAAGGAGCCTTCAAAAGGGTATGGAAAACATCCACTGGTTGCCCCGGCGATATTGCGGTTTTCCCCTCAAAAGCCGGTAGTTTCAAGGTCATCCGGTAGGTGGCGTGATCGGTGATAAAACGAAAGCCTACATTCAATGTTTCCTCAAATGTGCGAGGTGATGGCTTCACCGGTGAGTTGTGTATGAAATTAAAAACAGAAGCCTCGTAGCTGACGCGAATGACAAATATCCAGAGCATCCAGCCAGCGAAAACCGGAGCCGGCACTAGCCAGCATCTATGCAGAATCCTATGAAGGCAGAGAATAGCTCCCAGGAATAACCAGGTATATCTGTTGAAGGGAAACAACATTACTTCATAGATGCTATAGCCATCTCTGGCCCGCATCACTATTATGTAGGACAGCTGGCTGTAGGGTACAGTGACTGCCAAATAGGCGGATCTCTCCGTCGTACAGGCGGCACACCCAATGGTCATATTGGCCCTCCTCTCGCGGAGCATTTTATAGGCACCCGTGAAGGTGCCATTCATATAGCTGGAACCACCAATCAGTCCAGCCGGTTCATTCGGGATCAACTCCAGCGTAAAGTTCATCTTACGGGCCAGGATCCTCAGCAGTCTGCCATCCAATCCTTCCAGCATGGTCAGGGGATCGCTTCGCTCCCAATGCACCTTCATATAGGGCGGTATGTCCCACACAATGACGCTTAGTGGACAGCCATGCAGGTTCTTCAACCGCTCCGGATAGAGATCTCGTATGCGGGAATCCTTCAAATCGATTGCCACCGGTTCCGTGCTCGTGCAACTTTCGGCGGTGTATGGCAGGACATTGAATCCCCGGACTCCCTGCAAACTGGGCACCACGATAGCCACGTTTATGTTGTAGCGCTGTTGCAAGAAATATGCGAATATGGTGGACATTATGGAACGTTCCTCCGAATCCGACAGGAATGACAGCAATACCACAATGCACAAATGATTTATCTCTATGCCATCGGCTACGGCCCTAAATCGAAAAGAACATTACCAATATTAACAATTTTTATCTTAAACAAATAAACAGAATTAAAATTAGTTATATCAAAAAGATTAATGCTACATATATTAACAATAAATAATAAATACATATTATATAATATTAATTTTGTTAGAATATGAAAGATCTTAAGTCATCAAACAAAATTCTGATATTTTCAACCCATTTTGACTAGTGCAATAAAAAAATACAAAATAGTTTCCTTTTCCTAACATATCTAAATAATCATTAATTGGGCATTTTTAATAAGTTAAAGATTTTTTTGAAACAAAGTAGCCAATTTTAGATAAACCATTTTATGCAAAAATCCATTATATTTTTTAGTGTATGGTGTTTTTTTTTAGTATAATTTCCGAAGATATTGAATTTTTGAAAATTTTATTTATTTATGTATTTTATAGAGAAAATCTCTATTCAATCTAAGTAAAAACCAATACAAAAATTTCTTCTGCTAATCCTAATTTAAATGACGATAGTGAAATCAGCCTTATGAACCAATATTAATTAGTATGTATTATTATTCCAACTTACTTGACCTGTTGGGCGTTTTGAACGAAGAGCAACTGGGTGCTGACTTGGGTGGCTAGCTTACGGTTCATTCGGGAATCCAGAACCACGGGCACTGGACAATTCAGACGCATTAAACTGCGATCCAGGACTAGATGGACCAGGTTCACACGATCCCTGTCCATTTTTTCGTAAGCGGTGCTAATAAAGATACTTAAATTATTGACCGCAAAGCTATTGGTGAAGATCTTCTGCAGAGTGGCTGAGATCTCAGTGGCCAGGTGCTCCTCCGAAGGATTCTGGTCTGGCCACAAAACGGCCTGCACTCGAAAATGGGCAAGAAGTGCCAGGAGCACTGACACCGCACACCGAAGTTCCATGGCGAATAGTGAGACAATTTGCAACATTTTTGCAAATTTATTTGATTGAGGTTTCGCGTTCCAAGGGACTGAATTGGTTTTGGTAAGGGACTTTGTGGCTCTTTCAGTGCACTATCAATTTTTAAAAACCTGCAATGTACACAGTGGGTCTTAATCGTATTTTTCACAAAAAAAACAGTGATAGAAAATTGGTTTAACATTTGACTTGAATATAATGATTAAAAATATATTATATTTATAAAGTTAGTTATCCCCTCAAACAAAATAAAAAATCATCTTTTAATAAGTAGAAGATTTTCATTTTAAAAAACATATTATGTTTGCAACAATAATTTAAAATATCCTCCTTATTAGCAAAAATCGCTGATTCGTTTTTATTTCTATAGATTTCCAACAAACAAATCGTGTTACCTCAATGCAATGAAAGTGATGTCAAACTTTCACCATTATTTACTATGTTTATTTACGTGGTAAAGCAGCGGCACCTCAAATCAGTTATTCGAATCTCACAAAAACCTAAACCCATGCGATTCAAATTAATTCTAGGACTGTGCCTGTAAAGGTAATGCATTAACAAATCCGTGTTCATCACTTAAACTAATTGCTGCGTACAGGCGAGCACCCTCTGACCACCATCCAAACATCACCCAACCACCCATCCACCCAACCACCCACATGACCCACCGTTCCGGAGTCGTGTGCGTGACAGGTTTTGGTGTCAGTATTATGTATGGGGCGCATAACCATAAATTAACACCATCAGAGGCACAGGCACAGACACACACACCTGTGGGTGGAGTGGGTGGTGGGTGGCGGTAGGTGTTGGAGGGTCGGGAACACACCGTCGGTGTCAGGTTCATGCAAACGCCATGTCGCATGGGCGAGGTTTACAAATAGCTGGATAATATCCTGGCCCCCATCGAAACCACAAGGTTTCTGAAAGTCACCAACACTTAGAAAAAAGTATACCTTTTATATTATAAAAAAAAAGTCGTACAGCAATGTATATTTAAAACTTAACAACGAGTTTTATGTAAATAAAATATATTTTCTTGGAATAATAACAAAAATAAGCCTCAATTTATTTCAACGAATTTAAAATACAAAACAAAACATTTTGATATATATGCAAGTGATAATTAATTTTACCTTTCAAAATGTTTTTGAACTTAAACGTTGGCCATGTTTTTCAGTGTACTAAACTAAATATCAAAAAATATTATTTTTGGTTAACACAAAATGTTTGTGTTATAATAAAAGTAGAAAAACGTAATAGAAAACAAATGTTTATTTATCAAATTTTTCCAAAAGATGATACTAAATGGGAAAAGGTTAGACGAATAAATTGTGCAACAATTATATCAATTGCAAGCCTCCACAAATAAAATATAAATTAAAAAAAATAATTTGTATTGTTTTATGGTATTTTTAAAGGCTTTATACTAATAACAATTTGTTAAAAAAAGACTTTTACTGCACATTCTTAGTTAATATATAAGAAACTGTTTTAAAATAATATGTATTTTTTTATTCAGTTTTTTAATGCTTTATGCTCTTAATGATTTGTGGAAAAAGCATTTTATTGCGTAATCTTAATTAATCTAATATATAACTACATATTAGGAAACTCTTCTGGCCAGGTGCTACGAAAAAAGTTTCCTCAAGAAAAGCGACCGCCGAGAAGCGAGCTCCAGGATAAAGACGATCAAGCCAAGGATCAGACCCACCATGACCACTAGAAATATGGCATACAGCTCCATGATGCCCAGGATCTGGTAGTTCTGCTCGTTACGCAGATAGCTCTCGAAGAGCTCCCACCTGGCCCACACGGACAGCAGACCCACCGAACGCATCCACATGATCTCCTCGTTGAGCTGATCGATGAGGAAGGAGTGCTTGGCCAGGTACATGGTCAGCTGCATGTTGATGATGTCCTCGGGCACGATTTCGAAGTGGGCTCCTGCACCGCCCTGCCCACCGCCAGCCCTCTGGTGGATCTTGTCCGAACTCAGGCGATTGAAGTGGATGAAGATGTCCAGGGCGGAGGCGGTCACATGGTGCCGCAGCCGATGGTTCGCCTCCAGGAAGTAGAGCGGATCCAGCTCGGAGGTGGCCTCCAGCAGCCGGAACCGCATGTGCTGCACACTGGGAATCTCGTCCAGCACCTCCTGGACAATGGGCGTTAGCACCACCGTGTAATTGCGCTGCACCAGCGACTCGATCGTCTGTGGCCATCGATTGAGTTGCTGGGTGCGTATCAGATGGTACAGCAGTCCCTGGTAGATTGTCCGGATTATCAGGGTGTACATCATCAGTGTCAGGCAGTAGAGACGAGCGGTCTGCGATCGCGGCGCCTCCAGCAGTGGCATGCCCACGAAGATGAGCTCCAGTTGGAGCCACGACCGCGATCCCAGACGCTCCCTGAGCAGCCTGTCCACCGCCAGCTGGAGGAGGGCGGACAGAGCCACCACGCCGAGGATGCCCAGCCAGATCTGCAGGCGGTACGGGTACAGCAGGATGTCGAAGGAGCTCAGCTCGTAGCTGGAGGTCAGCACCCCGAAGACCTCGCGCGTCTGGTGGTAGTTGTGCGTCGAAGTGGCCACCACACTCCTGCCCACCGTCTGCCTGATCCCACCCAGAGTGAGGTCCGCCTCGCCACGTTGCAGCTGCAAAATTAAACGTTAGATCAAGATTTAGCTTCGATCCTATTAGCTACACTGATAAAAAAAAAGGGAAAAGTAAAAATTAATATCTGACTATTGAACTCGAAGTTGTATTTACTTACAGTATTTAAAAACCGCAATGGATGAAAATCAAAGCAAAAATATTGAAATGAAATATACAATTTTTGGATTTATTACGTTTTTTCACCAGTGTTGTTTATCGATCATTTGATATGATTTTTTAACAGAAACTTAATAGATGGAAGTACAAGTTAAAACCATTCATATGTTTACATTCAGGTAAATAAATGGTTGAGTTTTTTTTTTAGTCCTGATTGGTATTGTAAACATTTTAGTCGACTTTTCTAAAATGTAGTCAACAAAAATATCATTACATGATGTCATAAGAAAGTTTTTTGATTCATAATTTTTTATATTCTTAAAGCAGGCTGAATAAGTCGGATAAAGCATTTTGATTAAAAAGCTCACCATTTTCTTGCTTTGATTTTTGCCACAATTAAAATTATATTTTGTATATATTTAACAAAAATTCGACATAGCGTTAGCATCAAAATATCAATTCCAGTTTAACAAATTGAAACAAGTCAAACGTTTAAATCTAAAATTACAAGTTTTCCATTTTTGTCATGATAAACATACACTCAAATAAGAAGATTAAAACTACTTAATTTGGCATACAAATTTTTAACAACCTCCATCTTTCATATATCTAATGCAGACTGATTAAATAAATCAATCAATTATCTTGTGAGTTAAGTTATTCACCATCTTCAAGAAAATATATCTTTCAATCTATTATAGGTTTTGAAATATAAAAAAATATAAAACATTTCAGTTTAGTAAATTAAAGTTAATTTAAATTTGCTTAAAACAGCCAAAAATTCATGCTGCTTTATACGGCATACATTTTATTATTAATTTCTGAGAAAAGTATGTTGTATGTATTATTCCGTATTTCTATTGCAGATCGATTAAAGAACTCACCATCTCCAAGGCCTGGTTTCTGACATTCGCATGCACTTGGCGCACGGCAATGGTGAAGTTCATCTTCTCGGCGAGTGCCAGGAGCAGACGACCCTCGTAGCCACCGCCCACGACCAGGACGTGCTCCTCCTGGCCCCCATCCTCTTTCTTTTTCTCTTTCTCATTCTCATTCTCATGGAGGACGAGAAAGGGTGGCTCATTCCACAGGGCACATCGCAGGGGACAGCCGTAGAAGTTGGCCAGCTTGCGGGGGAACAGGTCCGGCTCCACCAGCATGCTGCCATTGTAGCGATTGATCAGCTGCGGCTCCAGGTCGGAGCATCCCCGCTCCCCGAAGGGATAGTAGCTGTAGAACAGGATGTCCCCGTTGGACTTCTGCACCTGGATGCTGCAGTGGATCAACTGGTAGCGCCAGCAGTAGTCGAAGATCAACCGCATCTCGCCCAGCAAGAGACGATCCCGCGCCTGCAGGAATATGAAGTAGTGCTCGTTGTAGTTGTACTCCCGGGCATAGTACTCCATCCGGATTTCCTCGAAGGCGGCAAAGGAGTCCGTGAAGATGACATTGAAGTGGCGACGACCCGGAACCGGATGCCATGGCACACCCCGCTCCACGTTCACGATCTGCACCGGGGCCAATCCCCATTGCCGGAACAGGGTGCTCATCATCTCGTTGTAGAAGTTGCACGTGTGATTGCTTCGGCAGCAGAGGGTCAACACCAGCGACGGGGTCACACTGAGAATGAAGTGGTGCACCACATGGAGCAGGGCCCGGGCCACAAACTCGTTGATGTGGTTCATCTGCTCCCCGGACAGGTCGTAGTACGAGTTGAGCAGTGCACTGATGTTCATCCCGCCGGGACACGGACTCCAATGACGCTGCTCCAAGTCCCGATCTGGTTCGGTGCCCTGAATCACCCCAGAGTTTTGTGTGACCAGCCGGTTAATTGCCCCGAAAAGTTTCTTGATTAATGGTTGTCCAACTAAGTGGCTGAATGGGTTCTCTAACACGGAAAAAAAAAGGTAAATACCGTTTTAAGGAACACGAAAATGAATAGGAAACTTACCATTCAAAAAGATACAAAATTCCAAAGTTATATGTTTTTGACTTTTAGTATTTCCTAAAGTTTTAAAACCATAGATAAACAGTCGGTTAAAATCAAATTAATTATTTGTTATTTGTAAAAATGTAAGAATAATTCGACATTTCTTTGGATGGCCGTCCAAGTCGACGACGAAGTGAACTGCTGGCGTTTCTAAGCAACTAAAAATACCAACTCAGTTTTGGTTTTTGGATCGATTAATTTAATGTGCATCTTCAAATGCTCAATCAATATAAAGCTTATCTTAGGTGTGAAATCTGAGATATATAACATTGCAGAATATTGGGACATTCCGGTTCCTCCGCCGGAGGAAGAGCTCTCCGGCGAAAACAAGGACCGCCAGTAGGTACATTCCGGCCATGACCATGTAGATTCCGGAGAGCTTGGCGTGGTTGATGAACCGCCGGCTGGTCGGCGGCACTTGCTCCCTTCGGTGAACGGCGGCGAAGGAGGCGCGGCGCCAGGCGAGGATGAAACCGCCGGCATCCAGACGCCGTAGCACCTCGTCCATCTTCTCGTAGAGAAAGGAGTGCTTGGGCATGTACATCCCGGTGTACTCCACATTCACTGGCTGCTTGACCACGTGGTAGGCATTGGTTTGGCCGAAGGAGTGCAGAAAGGATTGCGTAATATCCTGATTGACCACGGCGAATAATTTGCGATTGCGGTTCCGCTGGAGGGCACTCAGAACGTCCCAATCGGAGGGTGTGTCCAGGGAGTGAAACCTATCCGGACTGCGGGACACCTGCGGCATCTCGAGCAGCAATCGCTGGGTATTGGCCGTGCTGATGCCCTGGAAACCCTCCTCCAACAGATGTTCCAGCGAAAACGATGGTGTGCTGTACAGTTGCAGGCGGATCAGGTGAAAGAGCAGCGATTGGTAGGAGATCCTCAGCGGTATGCTCGCCCACAGCCAGTGGGCGGCGATGAGGCGGTGCCGCCAGGAGCGTGGCAGCCGGGCCAAAGTGGCGCCCAGCAACAGGGCCACCACCTGCAGTCCTCCTCCTCCTCCTTGAATCCTTCTCCTTAGTGGCAAATGGATAACCAGGTGGATTAGCAGGGCCAGGAGCAGGAGCAACCAAACGGGCAGCTCGAAGGGAAAGACGAGGAGGGCCAAGGCACCCAGACGATAGCGCTCCAGCTGCAGCACGGCCACCAAATTGGCCGAGTAGTAGGACATGGGCGTGGTCAGTAGCCTACTCCGGCGTGCCGTCCTCCGGAAATAACCCAGGCTCAGGTTCACACTGCGCTGCTGGAGCTAAAAATAATTAACATAAAATATAATCTCATTTTATAATTTAAGATTAAAGCTCCTAACAATTTTAAAACCATATAAGGGTTAACAAAGCCTGCTAATTAGGACGCGTTATAAGATGTAAAAGTCCCCAGATGTTATACAAATTTTGATATTTAAAATTTTTACATTTTAAAAGCCATAGAACTTTGAAGATATAGTTTTAAAATGTTTATTAGTCTTTTAAATTCTTTCCTTTTAGAAACAGTGCTATCAATGTTTGTCAGACGTAAAAACAAAAAAAAAATTGTGCTCCTAGTTCCCTTTAATCTTTGACAATATTTAAGAATGTTTGACTTTTCATAGAAGGTCTTCTTTAAAACTTAAAGAAATTCATGAATGTTTTTATACGCTAGAGAGGATTCTAGAAAATGTCTTTTAAAGTTTGAAATGTTCTAAAGATTGCTACAATTTTCACTGATTTATAAGCCCTGCAAATAAGAGACTGAAGAACGAGTTTAATTTCCAAAATCCCCAGAGCCATTTTGGTTAGTTAGTTTTTGAACTAACCCTTTCTATGGGTCCTTCGCTGACGCCATCCGCCAGGCGGTATGCATCCGGCCGCAGCAGTGAAATATTGGCCAACTCCAGGCTGAAGTTCATCCGGCTGGCCAGGTGCTCCACCAGCTGGATCTCGAAGCCAGTTGCCCGTTGAACGTTGGCCTTCGAGTCCCAGGCAAACTCCACGAATGGCGGCTGATGCCAGGTGAGCACGGTCAGGGGACAGCCGTGCATCTGGCTGAGTTTGTCCGGAAACATCTTCGCAGTCCGCACCCAATGCCGGCCATTGAAGGTGTTCACCAGCACGGGATGCGCCTTCTGACAGCTGTCCGCCGTATACGGATAGAAGGTGTAGACCAACACGTCCACCTGGGCGGTCTGGATCATCACGTTGCAGTGCAGCCAAAAATGGGCCAGACAATGGTCCAGGATCAGCTGCAGCTCCGTGGCAATGAGGTGATCTCGCGTCTGCAGGAAGATGAAGTAGTAGTCCGGGTCATCGAAGTCCGCATTGTTGGCCGTGATGTTGGTGTCCCTAAAAGTTAGATATTACTTATACAGAACTTACTGGGGTTTTGAAATCACTTATAAAGGTGTCTAAAAGTATGCAACATATTTTCAGTTCGATAAATTCGTTCTGAATAATCACGTTCATCTTTTTTCAGCTAACTTTTGGGCGCCTTATAAATGATTTGAAAACTATAGTGATTCGGCAGCACCCTCGATGGTTTAATTTTTAAAATAAACAACCACTGGAGCTCTAAAATAATTTATAAAGGTGTCTGAAAGTATGCAACAATATATTTTCATTGCAAAAGTTCGATAAATTCGTTCTGAATAATTATGTAATATTCTCACAGCATTCTTTTAGACACCTTGATGCCACAGAAAACTTTTGGGTCCTAAAATCAAGTGATCTCTTTTCTGAAAGTATGCATGAATATAGTTCAAATCGGATATTCGATAAATTCGATCTACTTAGACACTATTTCTCAAAACCAACATTTAGACACCTTTTAAGGTGATTTGAAAATCGTAGAGATTTCTGTGACACTCTCAACAATTTCATTTCTTAGATATGCTCACAGTAGCCCCCCGTAGGAGTCCACCATCAGCAGGTTGACCCGCTTCCTTCCGGCCACCGGACTGGCCACCAAATCCGGCCGGAAGCGGAGCAGCTGCACCGCCACCGTTCGCCACGAGTCCATCAGGCTGTTCGTCATGTACTCGAACCACTGGGCCGTGTTCAGGTCCCTCGTCGCAATGGTCACCACCAGGGTGGTGCTCAATTGGGCCAGGACCTGCTCGATGACCAGCCGCAGGGCTTTGGCCACATACACATTGGCGTCCTCCGCCTGCATGTCGATCCTCGAGTGCTCCAGGTAGGTGCTGTAGATCGCATGGCCGGATCTGCAGCTCCAGCTGGAACTGGAGTTGCAACTGGTGTTCATGGCGCTCCGTCAAAGACTCAACTAGGCGGATAAATTCAACTCGGGCTGGGCTTTTGGGTACTTCGGTGTTTCATGGCCAGATCTGGAAAGAGATTGCACTAATTAAAAGCAAATAAATCGGGAGGTTCAGTTTGGGAATGAATATTTAGGAGTATACGGGCTATACAAAATGGGCATAACTATTAAAGCTATGCCATAACTAAGGCAATAATATTTTAATTCGATTTTTAGAAATATTGGAAAGATATTTATTAAGCTTCTTATTTTATTTGATTTACAAACTAATTCATTTGTTTGTTAATTGTAGTTAAGGTCATTAAACCTAGCTACAGGTAAAAAATTACAATAAAAAATATATATTTTTTTGATGTCAATACAAAAACAATTTAAATACAAAACATGTTTAATTATTGATTTGGTAATTGTCTTGTTTTTGTCACTATTTTGAAATATTTTCTTATTTGAAACTCAAACGAATTTGTATTAAAGTTTTAAATTTCAGTTTTTTTTATTTTATTTTATTTTATTTTATTTGTCGTCTTATATAATTTACTTTTAAGGTTATCTTTCAGTGTAAAGATACTTAATATAAGTATGAACTTTATTTTGAATTTTTGGATTACATCAATCGAGGAAGTAATAAAACCCACCACCTTATAAGTAGAACACAGACCTGCAAGCCCATAAAAATACACAATTATCGACATCACCTTACCTTATAGGTAACATATCGTAGGAGAAATGAAATCCCTGGCTAATTGTCCACCGTGGTGCGTGACCCACAATAGTTTTGTTTGACTTAGGACCTAATGAGATGCAAACAGAGACCGCATTGGACTGGATTTCTAAACGGCGATGGGACAATTCCGGCAGTATTCTTCCCGGCTTTGAATAGACGGACATGAACGTGACCAGCCTGCTGCATTTTGAGTCCATGAAGTATATGGGCGCCCAGACGCAGGCGGCGGCCATAAATCAGCATGTGGCCCAGGCACTTCGTGTCTTCATCGAGGACTTCTACCAGCGAATGGCACCCGCCTTCATCGTAATCCTCTCCTGCCGGCGACCCAGTCCGATGAACTTCTACCGCAACATCATGCAGCTGCTCTACGAGAGCGTGGACACCATGATCATCCAATTGGTCCTGGTCGAGTCCGCTCGTCCGCGTCGCATCGAAGGACCAAGAACGCACAATCTGCTGCTGGTGGACTCGCTGCAGGCACTGCTGTAAGTGGGTTATCCAAAATTAGGGCAACGGAACTGTAACATTAAGTTATTATGCTATGTAATTAAATAATAAATAACAAGAAAGAAAGCAAACTTCGGCAAGCCGAAGTTCATATACCCTTGCAGCTATCGCAAGAATTAAATATTTTTGAAAACATTAAAATTATGATTTACTTGCGTATATGTTTAAAAACATTGAAGCTATGAAGATTTGCAGCTTAATTATTTGATTGTTCTTTTATATATTTTCATTATTTGTATAGGAGCTATATGATATAGTCGTCCGATTTTGATGAAATTTAAACCATAATTCTGAAATATTTAACCATTGCTATATGTCGAAGAACTAAAAAACAAATTAAAAAACAGCAAAGTTATAATTTTTTTCAATTATTTTTCCGATTGTTCCTATGGGAGCTATATGCTATAGTCGTCCGATTTTGATGAAATTTTAATCATAATTCTGAAATATTTAACCATTGCTATATGTCGAAGAACTAAACAAAAAATTAAAAAGCAGCAAAGTTATAATTTTTTTTCAATTATTTTTCCGATTGTTCCTATGGGAGCTATATGCTATAGTCGTCCGATTTTGATGAAATTTTAACCATAACTCTGAAATATTTAACCATTGCTTTATGTCGAAGAACAAAACAAAAAATTAAAAAACAACAAAGTTATAATTTTTTTTCAATTATTTTTCCGATTGTTCCTATGGGAGCTATATGCTATAGTCGACCGATTTTAATGAAATTTAAACCGTAAATCGGAAATATTTAACCATTATTATATGTCGAAGAACTAAACAAAAAATTAAAAAACAGCAAAGTTATAATTTTTTTTCATTTATTTTTCCGATTGTTCCTATGGGAGCTATATGCTATAGTCGTCCGATCCGGCTCGTTCCGACTTATATACTACCTGCAATAGAATGACAACTTTTGGAAAAGTTTCATGCAGATAGCTTTAAAACTGAGAGACTAGTTTGCATATAAACGGACGGACAGACGGACAGACGGACAGACGGACAGACGGACAGACGGACGGACAGACGGACAGACGGACGGACAGACGGACATGGCTAGATCGACTCTACTAGTGATGCTGATCAAGAATATATATACTTTATAGGGTCGGAAACGTCTCCTTCACTGCGTTGCAAACTTCTGACTGAAATTATAATACCCTCTGCAAGGGTATAAAAACACAATTAATTATTGTACCTACCATGCCAGGGACATCGATATACACACGTACACGGCGCAGTCGGATGCCAGCGAGTACTACTTCATCTTCCTGCAGCAAAGGGATGCCCTGATTCCGCAGGACATGCAGGGTGTTTTCGCGTACTGCTGGCGCCACCAGCTGATCAATTGCAACGTGATGACGCAGAGTTCCGGGGGTCAGGTGCTGCTCCACACGTACTTCCCCTATGCAGCTGGCGAGTGCAACGATTCCCGGCCCACTCAGATCAACCAGTTCCTGGGTGAGTCCTGGCAGCATAGCGACTACTTTCCCTCCAAGTTGCACAATCTCCACGGATGCCCTTTGGTTGTCCTGGCCCGGCGGGTGTCGCCCTTTTTCGATCTGGATGAGGGGCAGCGGGAGCTCCGGGGTCTGGAGGGACGACTGCTGCAGGAACTGTCACGAAGGATGAACTTTAGCATTCGGTTCGAGGGTCTCAGGGATCAGCAGGAGAATCGCACTACCTGGTCGGAGATGCAAATGCTCCAGAAGTTGGTGAGTTGGCCTCACTCTAACGGGACAGGCCACATTGAAATTTAAAAATATTATTAAATAAAATAATAATAATATGCCCCAAAAACGGGTTAAAAATTACCAGAAACATAGCAACAATATATTGATATTATCTAAATTTTTTCATAGATAATAAAGCTATTATAACATATTTAAATTTAAATCTTTTTATATTTTTTAGATACTACAAAATTTTAAGAAGCTCTCAAACTCAGACCTTTTTATTTTATTACCCATTATTTTGTTCATTAATGTAAGTATAGTTTTCGATTAAAATTTGATAAACAGGCTTTAAATTTAATTGCAAGATAATTTATAACTTTGGAAATTTGCAGATTTGATCATTTTTTAAACTACTCAACAGGCAAACAGATTAATGTTAATCAAATTGATGCTATACAAGTATGTCTTCAAATATCTCTTTCCAAGCTAGTCTTAAATGTATTTCTATAGTAGGATTTATTTTAATAGTAGTTATTTGCGAATGAATGCGACTGCGTAATTTCTAAAACAAATGTGGTTTTAACTTTTCTGCAACAACTCCTTTAAAAAAAACTAGAAATCTTTGGGTGAGGAAATATTAAAAAACGTAATTTTTTAGCTTTGGGGACTACAATTTAGGACACCGAAGTCAGTTATAAAAGTGTACTTTCTAATTTTAACTTTTGGTGCAGTAGAGTGTTATTTAATTTAATTAAATTAATTAAAATACAAAAACAAGTTCAATATTTATTTAAAGCAGAAAAGCTGTGTTTTTTATAATAACGTTTTGGATAAACCAATTTAATCTATACAGTTTTTAGTTCTTTAATAATATAAATAGTTTGAATATGTCTAATGTTTGGTCTATATTCACTCTTAAGATAATTACATTTTTCAGCTTGATAAACTCAATTTGAATGCCATTTTTCAGGTCCAAGGTGGCCTGGCCGACCTGGCGATTGGTTATGTGAGGAAGCGCATCCAGTACTCCACCAACCTGACGCCCGTGTTCCCGCACTACTCGAACCGCCTGGTGGGATGTCTGCTGCTCAATGCCCACAACCTGACCAGCCTGGAGATCTGGTCGTTTCCGTTCCAGGCCTTGACGTGGCTCTGTCTGCTGTCCAGTTTCCTGAGCATCTCCTGCCTGGTGCTGCTTCATGGCCGCGGACCGGGTGACCGGGTGGCCCTGGTCCTGGCCGTCTATGCCGCCGCCCTCGGCCTGCCCATCGATCCGCCCGAGCGTCCGACGCTGCAGTTGCTCTTCGCCAGCTGGCTGTGCTTCGGCCTGGTCGTGAGGGCCATGTACTCGGCCCTGCTGTTCCTGATCCTACGGTATCATCTGCACCAGCGTCTGCCGGACAGTCTGCAGGACCTGGCCGAGGGGGGCTATGCGGCGGTGATGACTCGCATAACCTGGCAGGATCTAAGGGAGGTGCCCAGTTTGCAGGAGCTGCTGGGTCTCCGATCGCTGGTCGTGTCCTCCGAACGGGAGGAGGAGGTGCTGCGCCAGCTGGACAGGTGCTCGCTGGCCGGCTCACATCCCCTCTTCTTTGGCCTGCTCTCCCAGGACACCCTGCTGCATCTCACCCAGCGCGGTCATCGGGCGGGCTCGTATCACATTGTACCGCAGCACGTGCTCGAGCAGCAGCTGGCCATCTACCTGCAGAAGCACTCGCATCTGGTGGCGCACCTGGACCACCTGGTCATGTCCATTCGGTCCGTGGGCCTGCTCCATCACTGGGCCGGCGAGGTGGCCAGCGAGCGGTACTTCCGCAGCCGGTTCCTCTACCGCGAGAAGCGCATCCAGCAGCCGGATCTGTGGGCCATCTACCTCCTGGCTGCCGGACTCTATCTCCTTTCGCTGGTCGTCTTTGTCTGCGAACTCCTGACCGCCAGACGAACTGCAAACGGAAGGCTCTGAAAATATTTATCGACCTCTCCATAAATAGATTACAAAAATTTAAATAAAATGTTTGAATGTTTGAATGTTTGAAGAGTGCATATAATCACTGGACAGTTGCTTCTATAAGAAATAAAATCTGGACAAAATTGTGTGTATTTTAATAATTAGCTTATATAATCTTCAGAAGAAATGTTTGTGGAATATTTTACAAATTTTGATAATTCATTTCAACATCTAAGTTAAGTTTTTAATAAAATTAAAATTCAGTAGGAACAGAGAAATATATTTTAAAAAATATTTTAATTTGGCTTCATTAACAAGAGACTAAAATATTAATTACCATATTCAAGAAGAACAATATTACATTTTTTCATTTAAGAAGATTAACATTTTAAAAAGTTGTTTGATCTCATTTTATTTTTCTTGGTTACAAAAATGTTGAATTATTTTTGACGAAGCATTGAGTAGTTCTTGATTCTGATTTTGATCTCAATTTCTTTTTTCTTAAATAATTTTTAATTTAATCTTGATGAAGTTTCAAGAACATTTTGTAACACATTAGTAATGTAAATAGAACCCAATAAATTAGCCCAAATAATTTTTTAAAATATCTTTTAAGAAGTTTTAAGTACAGAATATTTCGTAACCCATTAATAATGTAAATAGAAAGCAATAAATCTCATATCTCCTTTGATTACTCACTGTTTCATAATTTTATTATGCAAATCACAAGATTTCGATAAATGCGACTAGGCACAAAGATAGTTAGACACTTAACAATTTAAAAAAAAAAGACACAGAACATGGGTCCCTAGAACAATAAATGCATCTCTGGTTGAGTGGGAGCAGGGCCTTCTCGCCGACCTTACAACTTCTCGAGGAGAATGGAGGAGGCTCCTCCGCCGCCATTGCAAATGGAGGCGCAGCCCAGTTCGCCCTTCTTCAGGCTGTGCGACAGATGGGCCACCAGACGGGCGCCGGACATGCCAATCGGATGGCCAATGGACACGGCACCGCCATGGACGTTCACCTTGGCGGGATCCACATCCAGTTTCTTGATGTTGGCCAGCACCACCAGGGAGAAGGCCTCGTTGACCTCCCACATGGCCACATCCTCCTTGCGAACGCCAGCCCGCTTGAGCAGCTTTGGAATGGCCAAGGCCGGGGCAATGGGGAAGTCGATGGGATCCGTTTCGGCATCCTGGAAGGCCACAATCCTGGCCAGCGGCTTCACGCCAGCCTTTTGGGCCGCCTCGGCGGTCATCAGGACGACGGCGGCACCACCATCGTTCAACGTGGACGCATTTCCGGCCGTCACAGTGCCATTCTCGCGCTGGAAAACCGTGGCCAGTTGCCCGAACTTGTCGAAGTTCACCCGCTTGTACTCCTCATCCTCGGAAATGACGATCTCCGGCTTCCTCTTCTGCTGGATCTTAACGGGCGCAATCTCATCCTGGAAGACCTTGCTGGCCCAGGCGGCCGCCGATCGCTTGTAGGATTCGATGGCGAAGTCATCCTGCTGCTGACGAGTGATCTGCAGCTTCTTGGCCGTGTTCTCGGCACAGTTGCCCATGTGGAACTTGTTGTACACATCCCAGAGGCCATCGAAAACGATGCCGTCGGTGAGATTGACACCACCATAGGGGGTGGAGCCGCGCTTCAGGTAGAAGGGCACATTCGACATGGACTCCATGCCGCCGGCGACGACCACATCGGCATAGCCCAGCTGTAGGGATTGGGCGCCCAGCATAACGGATTTCATGCCCGAGGAGCAGACCTTGTTCACCGTCGTGCAGCACACATTGGTGGGCAGGCCGGCGAAGATGGCCGCCTGTCGGGCCGGAGCCTGACCCAGGCCGGCTGAAACCACATTGCCCATGATCACCTCCTGGACATCGGTCTTGGAAATGCCCGCCTTTTCGATGGCCGCCTCGATGGCCCGGGCTCCCAATTGGGTGGCCGTCAGTGGGGCCAACTGGCTCTGGAAGCTGCCAATTGGAGTGCGGGCAGCGGAAACCACCACAACTTCGGCTATCTTCGAGCTGTATGTACGCTGGGCGCTCCAGCGACGCGTGGCCTGCAGCAGTCGGGCGGACATCTTGGAATTTAATTAACTTTTAGCAACTACCAAAGCAAAGAACACTTGGAAACAGCAAGAATCTAATCGGAGTCCAACCAGAAATCACACCAGAACCTGTTGCTTGCGTAACGAACCGGTAATCGGCCTATCGATAGGCAACAGCTGGCGCGGCAACAGTGTTGACAACTGTTGAATAAGAACACTAGCCAAGGGCGGGAAAAAGCCAAAAATTATATATTTGAATTTTGAAGCTAAATATTAATATTATTATTAAGATCTTTTCTGATTAAAAATGAACACATTTAATTTTTTATAAACCAATTTTCTTTCACGCAGAATTTTATTTAAAGCAGAGCTATGTGTCCTTAAGCTTTTTTTCGGCACAACACAGCACTGAAAATGCATTAATTGAATTTAACGGAACTTGGACCAAGTAAATAAATTAATTTGTAAAAAAACCCATATTTTTATATGATTATAAATCTATAAATCTATAAATTTTCCAGACATATTTATTTCCTGTAAAAATAGTACATATAAATTCATAGACAGCTTTAAAACAATTACAAAAAAATTTATTATTCATCATGAATGTAAATATTTTATTGAATGCAAAAAACATTAAGAGCTAGACTTGTTTGTAAAACTAATGCAAATTGCACAATGAATGGCAGCGAAAAAAGGACAAATCTTACTGCTAATAATACGCTTGCAAAATATGGCAATTAAAAAAAATGTGTATAAAAAAAAGAGGAATATATATTACGGAACTTATTCCACATCACAACGCTCGTAGTTTCCATGGTTGCCATGGCTGCTGGACTCCACAATCTCCCGTCGACCGCTTAGATCACCATCTGGTCGCGCGTTGATAGCTTCTGATGGCCACTGGGCACCACCAGAGATCGTCGCATGCGATTCCGCTGGAGCGTGGAGTTCCGCTCCCTCACCGATTGCCGCAGATGCTGGCGCCGAGCTCCCCCGGGCCCGCATCCGCCGGCTGCTCCTCCTCCGCCCGCCTCCCTCTCCGCCGCATTCATGGCCGCCAGCAGCTCGAAGGCTTGTTTCTTCTGCTCCTTGGTCCAGAGATTGGCCACCGGAGGAGCTACTGCCGGCTGTTCCTGCGTAACTGGTGGCTTAAGGGCCAAAGGTGGTCGCTGGAGTCGAGCTGGAGCGGCCTGGGGAACTTGATTCACCGCTGGCAGGGATTTGGAGGCCGCCTTGGACCCGCGACTCAGGCCGAAAAGGGAGAGAATCGATTTCCTGCGGGTGGAGGAGGCTTGGCTGTCACCGGAATCATTGCTGGACACACTCATCTGCATGGGAACGGCAGCGGGCGTGGGATTCACTGTCGGATTAGCCACCGAAGGGGGCATGTTCTCAATCCCATAGGTGACAAACTTCTGGGGCGATTGGAACGTTACCTTGCGCAGAGTATTCAGGGACTTGGGAGCCGGCAGTGTGGCCAAATTGAGTTTGGCCACCGTCGGCGATGTCTCATTCAGTTCGATGGTGCAGTAGGTGTCATCGTGATGCGACTTCACTGGCTTCCTGGGCGGAATGGGCGGAGCAATTGGTTGTCTGCAACTGCAGGTGTGCTTCTCCTGCTGGATGAGTTTCTCCTGCAGCTGGCGCTCCAGCGACTGGACACGCTGCTCGCCCAACTGCAACTCCTGCTCCCGGGCCTGCAGCTCCTCTAGCTTCTGCTGCAGCAGGGATTCCTGGGCGCGAATGGCATGGAGACGGGTCTTGAGCACCTCATCGAAAATATTCTGGGTGAGAGCACGCGGACTGCTAGTAGCCTCCGTAAAATGATCCTTGCTTAGGCTATCCTGAACCCGCTTCTGCTGCTCCTGCTGATCCTTTGTTCGTCGCCGCTCTTGCTCCTGTTCCACCTGTCTCTCCTCCGCTCGCTCTTCTCTTCTTATACTTTCATACAAAGCGGGATCCGATAGCTGAAGCTTCTTGGGGGGAAAGATTTTTCGCTTGGCAGAGTAGAAGAGTTCACTCCTTAAATCTGGGGTAAAAACACCCGTGACACTCAGTCTTCTTTGGCCATAGCCTTCATTGAAGCTGTACTGCTCTGTAAACAGAGTACTGGATAATTCTGGCGGCACCTCCTCATCCTGCTCGTCCTCGAAGAGTCTGCCGCCGGTGGGCAGCGTGTAGAAATCCTCGCCTGCCTCAATTAGACTTGGAAACTTGCCATCCAGCTCGCTGATGTTACGCACCACCAATGGATGCCGAATGATGACCTCGATGCCGGGACGCTGTTCATGATCCACGGCCAGCATAAAGGCGATGATCTCCTGCAAATCGGCACTGTAGATCGCGGGAATCCGGCTGAATTCGCCCTGGGCGATTTTCTCGGACAGCTGGTCAAAGGCTCGTCCGCGAAACGGTGGCCGCAGAGCGCACATCTCGTAGACTAGACAGCCCACCGCCCAGACGTCGCTCTTCCGGTCGTACTTCCTGCCCCTCACCAGCTCCGGACTCATGTAGTGCGGCGTGCCCACAAAAGAGGCGGCGAAGCTCTGATCCCGTCGCAGCATCCTGGCCAGACCGAAATCTCCCAATTTGGCATTGCCAGCCTCATCCAGGAAGATATTGGCTGGCTTGATGTCACGATGAAGGATGGTGCCATTGGGAATTTTGTTGTGGCACACCTGGAGAGCCCGGCAGAGTTGGAAGAGCACCCGCCAGATGTAGGGCTCCTCAAAACGCTTCCTCTGTGTTCTCGCTCGCTGGACAATCTGGGCGAGATCGCCGCCGGCACAACACTCCATTACAATATATACGGACTTGGCCTCCCGGTTGACCAGGTGATGGTAGTATTGCACAATATTGGGATGCTGCAGTTGCCGCAGAACACTGATCTCGGAAACCAGGTCCTCGCACTTGGCCTCATCCAGCTCGTCGTAGTTCATACCCTTCCAGGCGAAAAGCTCTCCGGTGCTCTTGTCCCGCACCTTATAGCAGGTGCCGAAGGATCCGTTGCCCATCACGGCCAAGACTTCGTAGTCCTGAAGGGTTTTCTGCGAAAAGTCCATGCCGGCTGAATCCTCTCCGCTCATTTTTGGTAGATTCTATATCTATCCCACTTGTTTAGATTATTCCGCCGCCTGTTTCTTTCGATCCGCCCGCTTTAAAATCCAAAATCGAATTGAAACTGGTTTTTGGGATGCAGGAGTTTGGGACTCTCTGGATTTCTGGAATTCTCATTTTCGGCACCCACACAAACAAACCCACTACCTGCAAAAATCGAAGAGAGCAACAACAAGTGGGCAAAGAGAGGCTGAAGTGTTGAGCACTTGACGCTCGCCAGCTAGATCTGGCGGGAAAACCTAGAAGTCCTGAAAAATAGCTAGGAAAGAAGAATTTTAAACAAGAATAGAAGCAAACTTCGGCAAGCCGAAGGCCATATACGCTTACAGTTGTTTTAATAATTAAATCTTCTTGAAAACATTAAAATTATGAAAAAACATTAATGTTTCGGGTCGGAAAGGTCTCCTTCAGTGCGTTGCAAACTTCTGACTGAATTATAATACCCTCTGCAAGGGTATAAAACCCCAACCAGCTAAAATTGTTTAAGATTGTCAAAATTTATTTTAATTTTTGATTTAATTAATATAATTTTGATTTTATATACATATATATAAAAAAATTGATTTCTAAAATCTTTCTAAAATAAATACTTATTTATTCAACCCTTCTTCAATTTTTCAATTTACGCTGACTCTCTCAAAATCGAAATAATATTAGTGTATATCAAAAAAGTGGTAATAAAGTACTTACAATATATTAGAACTTAAGTAATGCCTGCTCTGTGAATACAAGAACAGTTATTAAGTTTCCTGAAATTTATAAGACTATTTCAATTTCATTTTAGCGCAATCATAAAATGACCTTCATTTGATTTAACCCACTTTAAGAAAATCCTTCGCACCTAGATGCTAATGTGCAATCTAGCTATTTTTCAGACAAGATTCTGCAGCACTGTTTAGTTACTTCAGCACGTTTGCGTTTCTCGTTTCCTTCCAGGAATGAGGATCATGCTGCTATCTCTTTCGCACCAATGGTTAGACACTTGCAAATCTCCTGCACCTCTCTATGGCTCACACTCTCCCCCGCTGTGAGAGAGTGCACTTGTGCGGCGAAAACCTGGAAAATCCCCTCCCCCCATTCAATCCCACTGCGCCTGTGTACAAACTGCTGACCATTGAAAACAATGGGGAAGAAAGAGGCAGCACGCCCAAGAACATAATTCCAACGATTCATCACGCTCTATCCCGAACCCAAACCCAAATCCGAACCCGAATCTGATCCCAAAACCCCTAACCCTAGGCCATAAAAATAAATTAGTTTTGTTGCATTGGCATTTCAATTTGCTGCCATGTTTGGAAAGTGGAAATGTCCTCATCGGATTTCATAATTCATATTTAAAGAGAGTGTGGTTCTCATCCGAGCGGGAATTCAGTCTAACGGTTTCAGCTGGAAGCACTTACAAACTAAAGCAGGGGCGTGCAAGGAGCTACCTTTAGGGGTGTTCATTTCGCAGATATTTAGGAAAGTTGTGGTAAGGTAAGATTCATGTTTCCCGTGAGCTTTAAAAAATTAGTAGGTGGAAATTATAGCAGCAATTCGATTTTCAATTCAAATTATTAAATTTATTAGGTACAAGGCCTCTATATTAGGTGCGTTGCATTTATTCTGATATAAATAATGTTTAAAATAATTTTAAAAAATTAACTAATTCACAATACTCTGAACATTTTATAAAAAATATTGTGAAATAAAAGTTTAAAGTTTTGTTTTTTCCTTTAGCAACTGAACACATGATAACAGCACTAAAAAGTAATAAAAACGGAACTAATAAATTTCATAAAATAAAACTTTTGAGTTATTTTATGATTTATGATTTTATGATTTATGTACTTCAAGTAGTCCCACAATATACAATGATAATTTTTAAGTCTGGAAATCCTCTATACAAGTATCCTGTCTACGCCCCTGATCCTAACAAAGTAGAACTCACATGTCGCCCCTCTCGTTCGCTCCCGCTGTGATGCACAGGTAGAATCCCTCGAAAAACGAGTTATCTCTTTGAATTTTCGAACTATTCGGCTTATCGTTAGCCGTGTGTTGATGTTTTTATGGTTTTCCTGGGTAAAACAAACAATGCCACGCAATCCTTCACAAATAAATCACGTTCCTAACCGCAGATCTCCTCCTTTGAGCAGGTAAACACATTGCATTTTTCACATTTCTCCGGTTTATTGGTAAACAGTAAGTGGGGAAAAAAGAGAAGATTGGCCGGGATTACTACCAGGACGGGGCCTTATCCTCACTTCCGCCAGAACGTCCGTACAGGGCGCTCTTGTCCCGGAACATGGTCATGCGTTCCGTCTCCTTCTTGTCCAGGAAGTGCCCGATGGCGAATCCCAGCAGGGGCAGTGCGCCCCACAGTGCTCGCTTGTCCAGCCCGAATACCATGGTATGTCCTCTGGTTTAAAGCCTCTTTATATGTCTCCTAGCGCTGATTCTTCAGGTGTGCGCTGTGTGCCAACTGGAGCTGCTGGCGTTTCCACTCGCGGGTGTGCGACCAATCTGCGTAAATCGATCCTACTGCAACAGTGGGAAAGAATATCACTGCGCCGTACTTTCGAGCCAATTGCACCACAATCCCACTGCCCATAGGTCTGCAAGACAAGCACACGGATATATGGATTTATGAGACACAAATGTGTTATGTTATTGGGTAAATTGTGTGAGATTTTGCCGGATTACGTAATGAAAATGACTGATATCTCCCCAGTGGCGTGTTAAGTTGGCTGGTTTCTGCGAACCGTTCTTACGCCGTGTGTGTGAACAAGCCGTCGATTGTGTTTTTGTTGAGTTTTCCCTGGATTTTGAACTCCAATTTGCTAAATAAGATTTGTTTTCAACTTACTTATAGCATCGATAGCACCAGGGCTGTCGACTCGTTTTTAGTTAAATGACATTATTATTATCGGTGGAATTACTATCGATTACTTATGACAGCATTGCCACCTTATAATCAGCTTGAAAATAGCTAGATTTTATTTTGATTTCAAAAACGGGATATATAATATATGCCAAGCCTAAAAAACTATATTTGATTGTATGTGATAAATGTTAATACTCAAAATATATAAACGGAGATGTAAAACAAAATAAAACTAATAATATGCTTCCCCTATCCCTATGTAGTTTTAAAAACTAAACGAAAGTAGTAAGCCCGCCAAAAGCTTTGAAAGTTATTTCGCTAATCGAAAAGTGGGCACCTATCGGCAATGGGCCATCACTAAGCCGCCCGTCAATTGTTTTCATACATTGACGTGTCGTGTTAAATGCGAAAAAAAGCTAAATAGACCGTAAACACAGTCGGATGGAGTTCCTGAAGAGCGGCATAAAGACGGTGCTGGGCGGCACGGAGCCGGGCCAGCAGCCGAGTGCCGCCGAGACGGTGGAGAAGCTGGTGGACCGCGTCTACTCCTCGACGCTCCTGGAGGACCGTCGGGATGCGTGCCGAGCGCTAAAGGCGTTGTCCCGCAAATACCGAATCGAGGTGGGCGCCCAGGGCATGCCGCCGCTGGTGCAGGTACTCCAGAACGACGGCCAGGACGCGGAGATCATCAGCTATGCGCTGGACACACTGTGCAACGTGGTCACCAGCGAGGAGTTCGACGAGGAGGCGGACAATCCCACGGTTACGGTGAATGTGGGCGAGCAGTTCACGGAGATGTTCATCAAGACGCCGGAGCATGTGACCCTGGTGATGGGCTACCTAGATGAGTACGATTTTCGGGTGCGCCGTGCCGCCATCCAGCTGATTACGTCCCTCATCTCGAACAAGACGCGAGAGCTGCAGGATCTGGTGCTGGTCAGCCCCATGGGCGTGTCCAAGCTGATGGACCTGCTCACCGACAGCCGCGAGGTGATCCGCAACGATGTCCTCCTGCTGCTGATCGAACTGACCAAGGGCAACTCGAATATCCAGAAGATCGTGGCCTTCGAGAACGCCTTCGATCGCCTGTTCGAGATCGTTCGCGAGGAGGGCTGCTCCGATGGCGGCATCGTGGTGGAGGACTGCCTGATTCTGCTGCTGAATCTCCTCAAGAACAACTCCAGCAATCAGCAGTTCTTCAAGGAGGGCAGCTACATCCAGCGCTTGGCTCCGATGTTTCAGCTCACGCAGGATGCGGAGGAGGCGGGCTGGTCGCCGCAGAAGGTCTCCAACTTTCACTGTCTGCTGCAGGTGGTCCGGGCACTGGTCACGCCCAGCAATCAACAGCAGGTGGTGGCCGCCTGCCAGCGTGTCATGCAAAAGTCCCGGCTGCTCCACGCTCTCTGCGAGATTCTCATGAGCAGCGGTGTCCCGGCCGATATACTCACGGAGACGATCAATGCGGTGGCCGAGGTGGTGCGCGGCGATCGGGACAACCAGGATGAGCTGGGACGGGTCATGGCTCCGAGCAGTCCACCCAGACCGGCCATTGTGGTGCTGCTCATGTCCATGATCAATGAGAAACAGCTGCTGGCTCTGCGCTGCGCCGTTCTCTACTGCTTCGAATGCTTCCTTTATCGCAATGCCGATGGCCAGCGGGCGGTGGTCCAAACGCTGCTGCCCTCCAGTGCCACCGATGTGAGTGCCCTGTCCACGGGTCAACTTCTCTGCACCGGACTCTTCTCCACAGACGCCCTGGCCAACTGGTTCTCGGCCGTGGCCCTGATGCACACGCTCGTGGAGAATGTGGCCCTCAAGGAGGAGCTGCTGCGCGTCCTGCTGGCCACGCCCGGCGGCCAACGGCCCATCACGCTGCTCGAGCAGTGCACCAATCTCATGCAGCAGGAGCGCTATCGGCTGCAGAGCAAGGTGGGCCTGCTGATGCTGCTCAGCCTGTGGCTGGCCCATTGCCCGGGCGCGGTGAAGGCCCTGCTGGAGACGCAGGGCACCATGGCCTACCTGACGGCCCAGCTCTGCTCCAATGAGCACGACGAGCGCGAGTTCCTTGTGCAGGGCATGTGCGCCTTTCTCATGGGCCTGTGCATTCAGTTCAATGACAACTCGCTGCCCGGCCAGAAGCGCGAGGACATTAGCCAGCTGATCATCAAGCGGATCGGACAGGAGAGCTTCTGCAGCAAGCTGGCGGAGGTGTCACGCCACGAGGCCTACAGTCGGGCCTGCAAGCAGGCGCAAATTCGGGCCAAGTCCGCCGGAGAGCTGCTGCTCGACTACGAGTACTGCAAGCTGTACAAGGGATTGGAGGCGCTGATTGCCAAGCTGGTCACCGGATTCGATGTGGATGGCATAGAGCTAACCGAACTCACGCTCAGTTCGGAGGCTTCGGCGTTGGTCTCCCAGTACAAGGGGATTATTCGCGGCATGGATGCCCAGATCCAGGCGCTGCAGCAATCCTCCAAAGAACTGGAACACGAGAATGCCGAGCTGAAGGAGAAACTCGGCGAGGAGCAGTCGCTGAAGGCGCAGCTCTCGGATCAGAATACACTGCTCAAGGCGCAGCTGGGTGCCTCGACGGGTCAGCAGGTGGTGCAGGCCGTCCAGGGTGCAGAAGCCACCACTGCGGCCAACCAGGAGGAGCTGAATGCCGCACGCTACCAGGCCAACATGTACTTTGCCGAGAACATCCGGCTGACCAAGGAGCTGGAGACGCTGCGTCTACAGTTGTCGGCCGAAAAGCTGCGGGCTGATGCAGCGCACGAATCGCTGGCGGCCACACAAAAGGATCAGGAGGATCTGCTCGAGCTGCTGGCCGATCAGGAGGCCAAACTTACGCGTTACGAGGAAGCGGTTGCGACGGCTCCATTTCCAGTTGCTAACCAAGCTCCGAGTGGGCCGGCAGCTGCAGCTCCTCCGCCGCCCGAGGAGGAGTGTCAGAGTCCCATACCAAGTGGCACCGCCAGCAGATAAGGAACGCTTCCAGGATGAGTTCCTTACGACTGGAAATTGTTCGACTGCCCCCTTCCTCCCCCTAAAAACAACCTTTAACCATCATATATACACACATTCTACTTGTTTTTATTTATATATATATATTTACTTACGTACAGAATATATGCATAGATCGGAATTTAAACAAAACCCAAATTTTTTTTGGCGGGAACTGCATCGAATCGCAAGAGATAGAAGATATTCCTGCAGGTTTTCCTATTTCCATCTCTTTTTATTCTGCTCTTAAGTTTTTTGTTTGCTTGGGTCAAAATATTTGTATTTTGTAATGACCATATATTTGATATAGATAGTCCTAATTTGGCAACTGTGTTTTTAAATAATATGACTTGACCTTGAGCATATCATTATTTTATGGAAATAACCTTTTAAATGTTTTTGCACCCAGTTATTTACAATTCATTATTATTTGCATGTTCCTTTTTTTTTAAATCTAGAATATATATATCTATCAGCTTATAATGCCAAACCAAGTTTCAACTGAACTATTGTCAGAAGTGTTGCATTTACCTGACGCCAAATATAAATAAATAAATGGGAATCGATATATTGAAGCTAATAATCTATCTTCTGCATTTCTTTAATGATGGAGCTTGAGGGTACTTTTAATATTTAATTAATTCATTAATAAATGTTTTCCCAAACATCAGAAAGGATGGTGATGCTGATCAACTTTATAAATAGAATTCCACTACACATCTGACTGACCAAACCCTCAATCGTTTCAAAATTCAAGACAACACACCGCGTTGTATACCATTTTTTCACATTTATTTAACATAAATGATTACAAAGTTTCTTTCTCTCCTCTCGTAGACCATGACCAAGTGTGGAGGGGGGGATGTGGTCTACGTTCAGTTTCAGCTTAAACAAAGAATGTGGTTTCCGTGTCGGCGGCATTTACTTCTTGTCGCTCGAGATGGAGCTCTTGGACTCGCGGATGGAGGCGGAGCGGCGGCGCTTGGCCTCCTCGCGCTTGGCCTTCGACTCCTTCTTGCGCTGGACCAACAGCTTGGCGTAGTCGGCGGCGGCCTCCTTGGAAGCGGTCTGGCGCTTCTTCTTCAGCGCAATGCGACGGTGCTTGCGCTGCAGCACAACGGGTGTGATCAGACGCTGGATCTTGGGGGCCTTGGAGGTGGCCTTCTTGTTGTCCTTGGCGGGCAGGGGGCGACGCACCACGAAGCGACGCACATCGTCATCCTTGCTCAGGTTGTAGAGCTTGCGGATCTTGCTGGCACGCTTGGGTCCCAGGCGACGGGGGATGGTGGTGTCGGTCAGACCGGCGATGTCCTGCTCACCCTTCTTCAGCACGACCAGAGCCAGCACGGACATGTTGGCGTCCACGATGCATCCACGCACAGACTTGCGCTTGCGCTCGCCAGTGCGGCGTGGGCGGTAGCACGAGTGTCCCTTCTTCAGGAGCAGACGCACACGACCTGGTAGATGGTAAATGTGTTTATTACTGCGGTAATTAATGCGTTTTTGGAGCTAAAGCCAGTGATTGGAAGGTTACTACGCTGGTTATATAGCTAAATAGCTTTGGGAGGAGGAACTATTCCCAGATGATGCTATCGATAAATTGAACGCTTGCTACATTCTTTAAAGGTTTTAAAGTTGCTAAACTTTTCTCTAGACAGCTCATGCCTAGGTTATGTTTGTAAATGTGTTCTATTTTATGATGATTTATTAAGATAATCTAAGTATATCTATAATATACTTATTTGAGAAGCATAAACTAATGACAATATATATACCCAAACTACTTTATTTAAAGGGTTTTAAAAGACCATTGCCTATAAACGGATTATATACAATTTGTTCAAGCTAATTTTGTCAATAAAATGCTTGATGCTTTCATGATGCGAGCAAAGGTTATGTTTGGGTAAATTTCCTTAAAAAGAGTGCCAAAGTTAAATCTTGGGATTTGCTTTTTGAAACGAATATGTACCTTATAGCATGTATTTAATGGATTCTTTACTACAAACTAAATTGCGTGATCTATATATGTATGTTTCAAAGAAACTTATTCACACATTTCAAGATGCAAACATAGGTTATGTTGGGGAACGATCTTTGAAGGAAGGAGTGACAAAGCTAATTCTCTGGCTGTTTAGAATACAGAAACCATGACATAGCACTTTAATGGAAACTTCCCTATTTGAGTAGTCCTAACTGTTAGAGTTACTGGTACTAAGCCGGTGTCACCCTCCAAACACTGGGTTTGTGCCACAATCGCAAGCCAACTCACCGTGGGTCAGGACACCCTGCTTCATGGGGAATCCCTGCTTGTCGTTGCCGCCGGCGATGCGCAGCTGGTAGCCCTTCCACTCGTCTCCGAGGATGTCGGCCTCAACAACCTGGCCCATACGCTTCTCGTAGAAGACACGCAGCTTGTGCTCGTCGACCACCTCGAACAGCTTTTGGCATCCCGTCGCGGGATAGGAAACGTTGAGCTGCAACACATAACAAAAATGCACACACAATGTAGATGTTGTTCTTGTACACAAATCGGATTCGCATATAAAAAAAAAAATATATCATCTACTGATCCAAACGCAATCACTGGTTTTTTTCGCTGTTTAATATGTCAGATCAACGCGCCAGTGCTTGCGCCATCGCATTTTCGCAATATTTTCAATGTTCACCGGGCTTATCGCTCGAAATTCACAAATTTTTAGCACACCTTCATTATGTCGGTCTGTTTGCACGCAACGCAGAAAAAAAAAGAATCGGCCGAGGTCTGTTGGCTGCGAGCGCAGGGTTGGAAAAGACCGATAGGAGGAAGTAGAGACGGGAGCTGGGCTGCTTGCCTGGCGCCTATCGATAGTTCGCAATCACGGCGAAGAGTGGCGGGTGATATTTCATTTGTTTACCTTTTTGCCTTTTCTCATGATCTATGTGGCAAATAGCCTGGCACTGAGGTATAACTTCTGGGAAAATTCTTGTTTTGATTTAAAATCTATGCCACCATTAGTAAAATTAATAAACCGTTCATTTTTTATAGTTATACCTAAAAAAAAGAAGATAATATATAATATTATTAAAATGTATTGAAGAGTGTTTCTCAAAAACCTTTTTTATTTTATACATAAAAACTTTGTGTAAATTTTAATAATTTTTATTTTATATACATTGCCTCAGGAACTGTACAATTCCATTATAAATAATTTTGACCCACAAAATTCCCTCGATCAATTTTATTTGAAACCCCTATGGAACAAGAGAACAAGGGAAAAAATAAATACCATCCCAATTTTACTGAGCTTATAACCTTATTTTAGCTAAGGACGAGAAAACGGGTCTTAAATTATTAGTTTTTATATAAAAAGTCACGGTCACTTTTAGGTCACGGATTTGTCCTAGAGGCACAGTTTCAATATTGAACGCGCTACCATCTCTAGGGAAATAAAACAATCGAAAAGCAGTCCTGTACAAAGTTGCCAGACATGGGAAAAATGTGTTTTGTTTTCCGAGTTCACAACTAGCTGGCAACTCCACTGCTTTGTTGCAACACGTGTAGTGATTACAATTTGTACTTTATTTTATTATAACGATTGATATTTGAGTGTATCCGTCAAAATGGGCAAGCCTAAGAAGGCCAATGTGGCGACAATCAAGAATGTGAACCTGGAGAAACAGATCACCGAGGGCAAGGTGGCCAAAAACAAGACCAAAGATAAGGTCAAACTGCGGGCCGAGGAATCAGCGGTACTAAATACTAGAATTTGAATCGCATTTCCTTTCGAAACCTTTAAATTTGTATAACTTTTCACAGAACATTGATGCCAGGAGCAGCCAGAAGATTCTGGCCGCGGCCAAATTGCAACAGTTGGAACTGGACGAGGAGAACTTTCCCAGTTTGGTGACCGTCAAGAAAGTCAATTTCAGTTTGAGTAAGTGCATTAAAAACCGATTTCCCATGAGGGCTCTTCAGAGCTTATTAAAATGCTTAAATTATATCATAAAAACGACTACATTATGTATGCTTAAGAAAAAACGAGATCAGAAGATAACTGCGGTAGGCCGAGTTCTAATAACCTTACAGTGAAGGCAAAAATCAGCAGAGATTACGGATCATTCTTTAAAAACAAACTAATTTAGCTTATTTTACGGGATCATTCTTATGGCTGATATAGGAAATACGATATGAAAAGTTTCAAGGCTCTAGAACTTTATGGGCAGAACTGTACAACATTTATGGCAGCCATAAGATATAGTAAACCGATTTTTAACAAGCTCGTAGTACTATAAAGAACAGAATTTATGGCAAAAATCGAGGATTTATACTCCAATTTATAGAAAAATCAGCGAAGTTATACAATTAATAGTTCCAATGGCAGCTACATGTATGGGTATTACATCTTAGGAAGTTTAAGGCCTGACTATTTCTATGGCAGCTAGAAGATAGTGTAGTTCAAACCAATCGGTTATTAAACAAGACCTTGTACATATAAAGAAAAGATTAAAATGCCATGAAATGATATGTACCATATACTACCATGACCACTATTAACTCCATATCAACTGTATAATCTCCTCCTCAGACGATGGCCATGTTAAGGAGGACGAGGAGGTCAATGAGACGGACTTCATGGCGGATTTAGACATGGACGACGACGATGTGGCCGCCTTCGAGCGTTTCCAGCAGCCGGCGCAGGAGGGCAAGCGCACGCTGCACCTCTCCAAGATGATCATGCAGAAGATCCAGGAGAAGGAGGCCGACATACACACCAAGATCTCCGACGAGGGCTCGCTGAAGATCGAGGAGATCGACCCGAAGGTGAAGGAGATGTACGAGGGTGTACGCGATGTGCTGAAGCGCTATCGCAGCGGCAAGATCCCCAAGGCCTTCAAGATCATACCCAAGCTGCGCAACTGGGAACAGATCCTGTTCATCACGGAGCCCCACAACTGGAGCGCTGCCGCCATGTTCCAGGGCACACGAATCTTCTGCTCGGTGCTGTCACAAGCGATGGCCCAGAGATTCTACAATCTGGTGCTGTTGCCACGCATTCGCGACGATCTCTGCGAATACAAGAAGCTTAACATGCATCTATATAACGCCTTGAAGCGGGCTCTCTTCAAGCCGGCTGCCTTCATGAAGGGCATCATCCTGCCGCTTCTGGAGGGCGGCGATTGTACGCTGCGCGAGGCGATCATCTTTGGCAGCGTGGTGGCACGCAGCTCCATTCCCGTTCTGCACTCCTCCGCCTGCCTGCTGAAGATCTGCGAGATGGCCTACTCGGGAGCCAACTCCATCTTCATTCGCTACTTCCTGGACAAGCGGTATGCGCTGCCCTATCGCGTCGTGGATGCTGCCGTTTTTCACTTTCTGAGGTGCGTTTCACGGTTTTTACAACGAATATATTCGGCTTAAAAAATGCCTTCATTTTTCATTTAATATTCATTCCATAAATTTGTGCTTTTAATTAATCATTCTGTGAAGTTTGTCAAAAATTATACTATCAACTTCAAATTTTCTTTAAATGTAACTTGTCTAGGTTGCATTGCAAAGATTGATATTAAAGAATATCCCGAGCATGTGTTTAGGTTTAAACTGTCTGTCCAAGTTTTCCTAATTTTGATCAATATTTAATTCATTTAAAATCAAAAAGAAAATGGCTTTAATCATGCATTAGTCTGTTGCTTAGGCTAATATATTCCTAAGATTCTGCTTGATTAAGAAGATAAACTAAAAAGCATTAAAATGCAAGCCTAGCTTTTCGAATATGTTTTTGTATTAAATTTCATTATTTTCCTATTCCCAAATTCCAGATTCGAGAACGACAAGCGGGAGCTGCCAGTGCTATGGCACCAGAGCCTGCTCACCTTTGCCCAGCGCTACAAGAACGATATATCCTCCGAGCAGCGGGACGCCCTGCTCCAGCTCCTAAAGTAAGTAAACCCAATCCTCTGAATCAAAGCCAGTGTTAATGCCAACTCTTTGCAATGGCAGGAAGAAGAGCCATTTCAAGATCACACCAGATGTGAGGAGGGAGCTGCAGGCGGCCACTTGCCGCGATGTGGAGATGATGGAGACGGACAATGGTCTAGCTGGGCAGCCGGCCAAGATGTACACAGATGCCGACGTGGAGTACGATGGCTAAGTGGGGGCTTACTTAGGATTAGTTTAATATGATATTGTTTTACCAGTTAATAACTCGATAGTCTTTATATATGTAAATATATCTACATATGCAGTGAAAATCAAATTCAGTTGGTCGTATTCAATGGGTAGAGGAAAAGCACCTTTGATGTTTTAAATGTTTTAATAGAAAAAACAAATGTGTGTGTGTGTGTGTGTGTAAGTTTTTTTTATACAATTTTGCATTAATTTTAAGTTGCTTGTTTGTTTGTTGTTGTTGTTTGACAAATGACGGTTTCAATGGGGGCCGTCGCAGTCGTATTGGCTATTGACCAGAGGACGCCCGCGTTATGCATACATTATGTATGTATGTATGTATGTACGTAGTTTTATAATCTCAATTTTAAATGTTGTAATTATTAAATATAATTCTGTAACCAAAATCTTTCTAAAAGTTTCGTTTCGTCACTTTCTTTAGTCTCTAAGTATTGTTTCATTATCTCACTCCAACATTTTGTTTTGTTTTGTTTTTTTTTTTTTGGTTTTGTTTTTAATTTATGTTATTTAAGGGCATACTCCAAGGGTTCAGACCAAGGACCGATTTGGGTCGGGATCAATTTGAATAATTTACAATAACTACACTGGACCATTTGAAATTAGTTTACCCACAAGTACTTGGACCTTGAGCCCTATCAATATTTTTGTTTTTCATGATTTTTTTTTTTGTTGTGTATTCCAAGCTGAGCTTTGATTTCATAATACAATTTGTAAAGAGAGAGTGTATTTTAACCGATCTTGAAAGCAATATGAATTTGAAAAGCCGTCAGTGTGTAAGGATTTTGAAAAATTTTGTTTTGGGCTTTTATAGGCGGTGATCGTTTGAAGCTAAAGCTAAAGATGTAAATGAATATACTCGCATGTGGGAGGGGATACAGTGGGCACTGGCTATAAATGAACGGGTCGCGCCCATAATCGTTAAATTAATATTTAATATATTCATTTGCTTCTTGTTCTTGTTCTTGATCGTGATTTATTTCATCTAATTGAAGTACTTGTGTTTTGATTTGGTTTTTGGGACCGCTTGCAATTAAACAATCAAGTATTTACCCATTGGTCCGAGTTGTTGTTGTATTGTGTTTTCGATTTTCTTGCCAAAAAGATACAAATACAAATATACAATTAGTTTCTTCTGCCTCAAATGGTCATTGGTTCCGCAACCGAATTAACAACAATTAAACGATATGTATCCATTTTGAATGGCACAGTTATGTTAACGTTAAACATTTCCTAAGAGTTTTCGTTTTCGTTTTTTTTTTTTTTTTTGGTTTTTTCTACATTTTTGGTTTCGGTAAATCATGGTTTAACTCAAGGGAAAAACTAACTTCTGATCAAGCTCACGTATTCGTAATAATTTTCTTTGGAATTATTTCATAAGTTAACAACAAGTTTTTTGTTTGCTTCCCAAAAACACTTCAGCTATCGATGGATTCAAATATTTTTGAAATCTTAGACAAGGACGAAAAACGAATCAAGGATGAAGCTACGATTTCGATCGGTATTAATTATTATTACGATTAGAATGATCCCAACTGATATGCTGTTTGATTTCAAGAAGCTACAACCATTTTTTTTTCTTTAACAAGGCCTTGGATCTGAGGTGTATACTATATGTTATGTGGGATACAGATACCGATACAGATACCGATA